CATCTCAGGAATCGTCCGAGACACCTTGGAGATTCTTGAAGGAAAGTCCCTCATCACTGGACATTCTTACTGCAGGAACAGGGAATAGGGAACAAGAACTGGAGACAAAATATACTTCTAGAGCTTTTGGCTGCAGTGTTGCCCTAGGTCCCTAGGTAAGCACTAGGTCCTTACCATGAGGCTGCCAGGCAAGCTACTCCAAATATACTCTATATATCTGGTCGCTCTTGCATTTCTGAGGATCTGATGGCACTGCTGAATTTGGTTTCAGAGTGTTAGGTGTCATTTACGACTTCAGAGTGCTTGTTTGTCAACCATCACTTAAAGGGTAATATTAATTGACACAATGCTACCGGCAACCACTGGGTGTGGGAACTTTAAAATGTGCTCTTTATTCCTACAGCAAGTGAGGATGTGTTCTGCAGACAACATGATACAGGTCATGTAATACATCATGGCTATCAGACATTTGTGCGAAGCAGCCAATGGATTCGGTTCTGTGGTGCAAAATTTGTTTGCATGAACGGTAAAAAAAGCCTCAAATGAAAACACATAACCAACATCTGGGTATTTCTTTGCAGTTGCAGATAGTTGTAGTGGAAGACGCCTTGGGTCAGGTTCTCCAACAATAAGCCTGATTCAGCGGCTCGGAGATGTTGTAAATAGATTATAGATTCATATGACTGCGGCTGGAGCAGATTGTGATGCGCCCGTCTGGTGTGAATAAGATGTACATTGTACCACAGTGCCGAATTCCTTAAAGTCCGCCATGGGATCTCGACGTGCAGATTGAGCAGCGCTGCCTGGTTTTGTGGGGGAGGGGTGGTGGGAGAAAGCTAGCAGACAGAGCGCTAACCTGGAGCAGCAGAGGCAGATCAGCCTTCTGCTCCCCAGCCTGGCAGGTGTGATCCCGGAGTTTATGTCTCGTCCTGCCTACTTGCATGTGTGCTGTAATGTAAAACAGCAGTCATAGGTATGGCCGTGTGTCAGAACTGTGGCAGCCTCCTTTGTTGTCTGGGAGACTACAGTGAGCTCTGGCGATCGTATTTGTGTTGTGGTTGATCAACTTATTCTGTTGGTGGTCTTGCAAAAGATCTCTATCACGGCCACCATCTGGGTCACATCCCATGTGCATATTTCATTAACTGTTAACAGTGGTGTGCTGTGTCATGTCCTTTGGGCCATTAGCCCCTAAAAGTGCATTTCTGTATCAGGGTCCACACTCGTGCGTCGGTGCGCTCGGTTTTGCAGGTTATCAACAGCAGATGCCTTTAACAACATAAGAATACGGTTACAAACCTGAGGCCATATGACCTGTCTTGCCCCAATGACAATTGGTATCCAGTTGATCTGTGGATCCCATTGAGCCTTTTCTTGGCTTAAAACTGGGCATCGGCTTCAAAAGCCTGGCTTGGGAGCTCGTTCTGTGATCCCTCAACCTTTTACGCATAGGAATAATTTTTTAGCGTTTCCCATGCTTTTCCGATTGCTGGCTTTCAGCAGTGCGAGCGCTGCGGGGCACGAGAGCCCAGGTTTCACGCCTCCTCTGTCCTGCAGCTCGTGGTCCAGGCTGGCCTCTTCCACGGCAGCGAGATGCTGTGCAAGACGGTGACCAGCAACGAGGTGAACGTCTGCTCCGAGCCCTTCTGGGACCAGAAGCTGGAGTTCGACATCGGCGTCGGCGACCTGCCGCGCATGACCCGGCTCTGCTTCGCGCTCTACGCCGTGATCGAGAAGACCAAGAAGCCCAGGTCCACCAAGAAGAAGCACAAGAAAGCTGTAAGTTAGGTGACCTGGTGGCATGAAGCGATTGGGGTCACAGCAGAGCTGAAGCGAACTCACAAAACAGTTTAAGAAATGTGTACGCGAATATATATTTATACTCTTAAATATTTTTATTACTCAGAAGAAAACGATTTAAGGCCCATGCGGAAATAATACATGTAAATCCTTGTAACTTAAAACATTTAATAGTTTATATTTCAAAAATGAGAAAAGTTCAGTAGGAGACAACGAAATGTGGCTTTGAAGCATTTCAAGAATCAAGAAAAAATCGTGATTTGTGAATTGTGATTCCTGTTTTTTTTTTCATTTGCAATCGCCAATACTTTTCCCATCTGAAACCCTTCCTATCTGGGTTTCTATTCCATCTTCCTATTCCCCGCGGGCCTTCGAGCGCGATCACATCATCAGGGGCAGGGGGCTTGGCTCTCTGAGCCCAGGGCTGCACGACAAGGCGAGGATGAGCAGCTCCCAGCAGCTCCTCATCTCCAGCTCCAGTCAGGTGGGAGCAGAGATCCCAGTGTAGGCCCAGAGTCTGTCTGCTCAAATATCAGGGTACCAGCAAGACTGCAACTCTTCTGCTGGGCACTGTGGGCACCGTGGGGGCATGCAGTGTGTCTAAACACAACTGGCTCTGCCACGGCCTGTTAGAGGACTTGTACAGCACAGGAAGTCGCAGCCGCAAACCGAATCTCAATATAAGGGGTATTTCAAAATCCAGTGGGTATATAGTCAAAACTAATTAGTTGTTCCGAATAAAACGTAATGCAGGAATTTCCTCTTTTTTAATCATTGTTGTGAATGCTGCTGTATGGTACAGGCTACCAAACCTGCGAGGTAGGCGTGCAGAAGCACACAGGCACTTTCAATCTCCGGCACTGGTTTCTGAGTGAATGTTTAGGTGAAACTGTGGTTGGGAAGTTTGGTCATGTATAGTAAGAGCATCTGTTTGTCTAACTGACATCCGCACTGCCGTCATTGTCTTTCAACCCCTTTTAATGGAAGTAGTAGTAAAGTACAGACAATTTCCTCTGTGGTCAGAATATCATGTCAAGCAGATTCGGTCTTAAAAAAAAAAAAGCTGCCAATCACCGCTAATTTTAAGTTCAAGAAGGTTGCAAGATCAGCAACATTGTTTAGAACATGCATTGAGTTACATTGTTTCAGTACTTTCCAGAAAAAATACACTGAGAGGAGACAGCAGAATTGCAGTTACAATAAGGGTTTGGAATACAGGAGGGATGCCAAGGGGCCGAGGGGAACCAGTTACATACATAAAATCCCTTCTAAAGAAGAACATTTGGAGTCTAGATGTGAAAGAGCTCAGGGAAGGTGACTCTCTGATATCCTTAGGGATGGAATTCCAGAGCTCAGGGGCGCAGCAGGAGTATAGACGGGCTTGGGGGACAGACAGGTTACCAGATTCAGGTGAACTAAGGTTGCAAGGTGGGGAGCAGGACGACAATGACTCAGACAGGTACTGAGGTGCCAAGCCGTGTAGAGCCTTAAGGGTGAGCAGGAGGATTTTGAAATCGACACAAGACTGGACATGCAGCCAGTGCAGGGACTCCAGGAGCAATGCAATCACTTGTGCTAGACCTGGTCAGTATTCTGGCTGATGAATTTTGAACATACTGTAGTTTGTTCCATTTGGATTTACTGTAAATACCCCATCGCTTGGGGCGTTACACTAATATTACCCTCTCTTATGTTTCACTTTGAAAATATGACAAATATTATTCAATAATGAAAAAGTTCCCAAGATAGATGGCAAATATTTTGATTTATTGAACCAAGTGTCAAAACTGTTGACACTTATATTGATATTTATTATATGCCAAACACAGCAGATAGTTGCTTTGCATTTAAGATCTTGTGAATTATTCAAGTAGACCAAACTTTAAAGTTAGGGCACCTGCATATTCTCTGTTACAGGTGGAAGTCTTCAAACACAACACCGATCTTGTCTTTTTTTAATAATCAGTACTGTTGAGAGCCTGATACATAACATACATAACTTACACTAGATATAAAAGACAGAAATTGAGCTCAGGTAACTGCTGAGCTACTATGATGCTGTCTGTGGTATACTCACCTCTCCTGAGTATGGAGAGGAAAGCAGTCAGATGTAGTTTGTGTCTGATCGCAACCGAGGAGGAAGATGGTGCATGTGTTCGGCAAGCAGAACATGCTGTTATAGTGCTGCTTCTCCTTTCCATTCTGCTGTACTTCTCGAATTCTGAGCTGGAGGAGAAGTCCAGGGGAGACAGACCTGAAAATTGAGAAGTTCACTGCAGGATGTGAAGGTTGTTTTTTCAGAGGAGTTTTGTTTTTTCAGCATCATTTGAGTCCTGGTTAGAGCACAGCTGGGGAAGGTTCATGACTTCGGCTTGACGGACATCTATAAATATAATATCTTACCCATAGCACGCTTATTTAAGGGGGTTTATTCTTTGTCATTTCATCTTTCTTGTTTAATTTGTTTAAGAAAGTTTTATCAAGTATAGAGTTGTAAGAGCATAAGAACAGTTATTAAGACATTTGTTAAAAGAAACTAGAGTATTGGCTTTAACATCATGTCTGGGTAGCTTGCTTCACACTTCCACAACTCTTCGGGTAGAGAAGTGACACCTGTTTTAAATGCATTTCCACATAGTTTACACTCATGCCCTCTGATTCTTAAGGAGTTTGCTGGTGAAGAAGTCCTGTTTGTAATGGGACAAGAGCTAAATTAAAATCCAAACCTGTCATATTGTGATTTTTGCCCAAAAAACTGTCCCCTGGTGCTTTGATTTGTCTTTAAATTCCTCTTCAGGGCTGGTGGGGAGAGAATGTTTTTGCAAGAGGTTTTGATGGGTAGTCCCAGCCCCTCTCTGGCTGGACAGCTTGTGCCTCGTTGTGTTCTGGGAACATTTGTATTTTTATCCAAGGCTGAGGAAACATGTTGCTCTGGCTAGGGAGCAGAACACAAAGGAGAGTTGAGAGGTTGAGGAGTAATAAAGAAACTCATTCAAGCAGTAGTGATATTACGCAGAACTGCTTCTTACTTGTTGGCAAAGGGTTTTGTTCTGTTCTGATTCAGATACTTTACAGGAAGCATGCTTTCATCCTTTTAAGAGTTCAAACATTGTAGGAAACATGCTGTAAGGTGTCTGTGTATCAGGAGCCCCTTGTTTCTGACAGTGGAAACTTCTGCAGTGGGCTGTACAGTGGTAGTAGCAGTATGAGTCTTACTCGATGATGTTGTCGTGCTGTTAGACTAATGTGGTGAATTCTTATTATTCAGTTCTGGCGAGGATTGTGCTGGAGATAGCTGAACCATAGAGAAAATAATCTAAAAGGTTTGTGCTGATGGTGAAGACAAACCTTCTGTGTTTCTGATCTCAGGGAAGTGAGCTGATGTTAAATTCTGTTTCCCACTGCAGGACTGTCCTCTTGCCTGGGTGAACACCATGGTGTTCGACTACAAGGACCAGCTGAAGACTGGCAATGTCTCCCTGTACACCTGGCCTTCTGTTCCAGGTACTGGCTACGGGCACTGAGTTCACTGGCCAGTTACTCATCCCCAGTGGCATTTTAGAATGGAGTTTTAAGACTCGCTACTCATTTTTGATAGCTTCCCTTTCTTATGCTTCATTACAGTCAGGTCCTACTCAGGTTGCACCAGTAGGAGAAATTTGGGCCTGCACTTCCCTGTTGGAGGCGTTTGCCTCTCTGATTTGTTTTAAGTTTGCTTTGGGCAGTTTGTGTCAAAGGAGATAAAGAGTCTGTTATTCCTATTATAAGCAATCAACCAAAGTCCTTTCTTAGATTTATCATGCCTTTAAGACACCTTATATGCTTTTATTGTGTTAAAAAATCTCAGATGCATAGGAATCTTTGCTCTGAACTGAGAAACATATTTCAGAGAGCAGCCACTTGTCAGAAATGCAAGTCCTGACGACTCCAGAGTGGTGGCTGAATTTTCAGATTGGCTGTAGCACTTGAATTTGAGTTGTGCCCTGCTAATATGGATAGAAGTCAACTGTAAACACTAAACCAAAACAGGCGATAACAAGTTAATTAACTCCAATGTATCAGTTTTTCAGGATATATATTTTTTTACTTTCCATTGATTAATTGGACAGTTGGACTTCTTCTCTAGAGAGAAGACGCTCTCATACAGAGGCACAGATTACAGTCTTGAAACAGTGCAGCAATCTTATTCTAGTTAAGTGATAGGCGAATGTAAATTGAAAATTGCTAACAAGGCTCTAACTGCCTAACATACCAAGTGCATTGCCAGTGAAAACAGTTCACTCACTTAACAGTGCACTTTGGTGTAAACAGAGGTGTTGTGCGTGCTTCAGTGTGAGGAGAGTGTTGCTGAGATCTGGCCATGTGCTTGCAGATGACAAAGGCGACCTCCTGAACCCCATGGGTACGGTGGAGAGCAACCCCAACACTGACAGCACTGCTGCCCTCATCATCCGCTTCCCCAGTGTCAGACCACACCCCATTTACTACCCCTCGTTTGAGAAGGTAGGTGAAGCCCAGGAAGACATTTATCAAACCGCGGCATCACACTTTCGCCTTGCCATAAGAAAATGAGCACTCCGCCACACATAGAAAATGCAGTTGTGACTTTTCTCAGAGTATCTCTAAGCACACATGCGAGTAACTCTTAGTGCACTTCTCACTGACTGCACTGATTGTATTGTATGTACTGTACTATATTGTTGTCTTATTGTATCATTTCGTTACACTGTGCTGTGTTGACTGGGTTAAGCTGCTGTTGCACTGCAATTTCCCTCACGGGATCAATAAAGTATCTATCTATCTACAGGATGACCTACTGCATTAGGCCCTGTATGCCAAATTCTCAGGTGCTTGTGCCTCATTCCTTTTGTGCTTTTTAGTTTTCTCATCTTTTCTCAAGTCCGCTCTGTTCAGGTTAAAAGAGTGGGGCTGTTTACGTGCGTGGTTTGAAGTTTTATTATTACTAGATTCATTGTTCTTTATAGCACCAGCCTCTCTCGCAGCTGCTTGCTGTCTGTGCTCTCTCAGCGGCATGCAGACGTGCTCTGTCGCTCTCTGGTGCAGAAGGACACCTCTGTGTGCAGCCCGTCTCAGTGCCTGAGCAAGTCGGAGTGCTGTTTGGAGGGGAACACTGCCTTGCTGTGGTTGTGGTGATGATGATTTTCCATTCTCATGCTAAGGGTTCAGTTCTGTAGTTAATAATCTTCCCTTCCCCTGCAGATCAGCGAACTCGGAAGAAATGGGAAAAAGACTGTGGCGTCCAAGGAGGAGGTAGGTGGCCTGGCTGCTGGAGAGCAGTCACACGTGTCTTTCACTAGCACCTGTTTAGCTTGTCCAGCATTATGTACAAGAGTCAAAAATCTCTAGATTGGCTAGTTATTATTAGGGTTGGCATTGCGGCACAGTGGTGAGCATTGCAGCCTCGCAGAGCTGGAGCCCTGGGTGCTGTCTGCGTGGAGTTTGCATGTTCTCCCCGTGTTCGCGTGGGTTTCCTCCAGGTGCCCCAGTTTCCTCCCACAGTCCAAAGACGTGCTGGTAGGTTAATTGGCAATCCTGGTGTAAGCGAGAGTATCTGTGCCTCTGTCTGCCCTGCGATGGACTAGTGTCCTGCCCAGAGTGTACCCTGCCTTGTGCCTGTTGCTTGCTGGGATAGGCTCTGGCTTCCCTGCGATGCTGTTCTGGATCCGAAGATGAGAAGATGGATGGATGGATAGTTATACATTTCCATTCTCTATCATCTTTGACAACTGCTCCAGGAAGAAAGTTTTCTTATTCACACGAACATGATTATTTAAAATATACTGATTATTTTCCTCTATACGATTACAATTCTCCTGCACATGTCTGTGGTTGATAGGTATCTAGTACGCTCCAGAAAGGGGGGTAAAATACTTTGATTCGTGGATATTCAGGTTAAGAACAAAAGTGTGAAATACAGTAACTAGCACTGTCCATATGATTACACACAAACAATAATTTCTTGAAAAACATTTCAAACGCTCAGCTCCCTATGCTTTCAATGACAGCTCCTGAAGCTGAGTGAAATAGTGGAGAACAAGAACTACACAGAGTTCTTCGAGGACGACAAGGACATTCTTTGGAAGCTCCGCTACGAGGTGCGAGAAAAGTACCCCGAGAGTCTGGCCAAGCTCCTGCTCATCACCAAGTGGAACAAGCATGAAGACGTGGCGCAGGTGTGTGGGGCTGCGCGGGAGGTTCTGTTGTCTCTTGGACAGACAGAGCGGCACTCGGTAATGCAGGAAGAGGTGCATAGAAAAACACTCTGCACTGAACATGTGCCACACGGACAGGTAGTTGACATTCAGACACGTAACAAGAACAGGGTTATTCCCTGCTGAAAAGAGAAGAAAAGAAACACAGCGTTTCGGCTGTGGAGCCTTCTTCTACTTGAACTAGTTCAGGCAGGCAGTTGACATTGAGACAGGCAGTTGACACTTGGGTAGTTGGCGGTAAGAGAGGTAGTTAACTCTCAGGTAGTTGACACTCAGACAGGTGGTTGACAGGTGGGTGCTGCTGTTTGAGGTCCCATTCCAGTTGTTTCATTTGCATGTGGGTGCTGTCCACAGCTTCCCATGCTGACTCTGGACTGCAAGCTCTGTGCATGAATGCAGGACTGACTGCAGCATTTTCATTTTTGGGATAGTCATGAACCAAAACAGAGCAGTCAGCCATCAAGCAAGAAAAGAAAATCAGTCTTCTCTAAGACACCCTTTCTTTTTTAGCAAATCACATTTCAAAATTCTTGTTCTTTATTTTATTTCCTTTCTTGTTCTTTATCTGTTTCTAGCAGTTGAGAAAACTTCACAGGTTTCAGCCAAGCTGTCGTTGTATGTTTTGTTTTGTTTACTGGAACTGACCGCAGTGTGCAGATTCAGAGGTTAAAATTATCAGGGGTTGCTTTACAGATTGTGTCATCACTTGTTAAATGCATAGATTCTTAGAAAAGACAGCATTCATTTCCTTTTAAAAGAAGGTGCCGTTCTTCCAAAACTGGACTATGTCCTCTTTTTTTGCCTTCACACAGTTGTTTATCAGGAAGCAAAGTAGGGTAATGTTGTTGCTCTTGTGAAAAACAACATCAGAAATTGTTGCCTAGAGATTTACGTTATTGGCCTCTGAAAGATACCAGATAGACATTCTTGCAGTAGGTGAATGAGACACAAAAAATATATAACATTATTTTTGTCCCATTGCTTTAAAATGCCTAGACTTTTAAGAGCCACATATCCATGAAATAGCCATATAGCAAGGGGCTGGAATAGCAGTTTTGATACAGTTGGTTACAGTACAGAATTTTGTAGTGTTACTGTTTTTTCCAAACCAGTTAGTCTGACCTGATTTTGTGGTGAATGTAATTTCATTAGCTCGCAGGGTTCATAGTTCTGAGGCTTGGATGTGAAAAACACACAACAGTTGATTCTAGATCTCGTGGATATGACAAAATATTGTCCATTTGATTAAAAAAATATAGTGGGAACTGCAGTCGATCTTGATGATTAATGGGAACAGTCAGGTATTTGAATAAGACTTTTCTAGTGAAAGATGCGTACAATTTCTTCTATATAGGGTGCAAAACTAGTCCCAAAGCAGGTCTAATAGATTGTTTTGTTTCTCCAGCACCTAAAAAACAACTTAAAGGTGTTAAATTCCTCCAGTTAAGACACTGATTAGATCAACAAAGTTTTCAAGAGCTGATCTGTAATGGAGACTGGAAAGGGACCAGAGCTGTTCACCAGTGGATTATATATGACCACTTGTTTACTTTGCATATCTATCTTCCTGTTAATCTCTGTGTCTTGACAGATGTTATGCCTCCTGCAAACATGGCCAGACCTCCCTGCAATCCACGCTCTGGAGTTGCTGGATTATAGCTTTCCTGATCGCAATGTGAGGTCATTCACTGTCAGGTGTCTGAGGAAGCTCAGGTGAGTGTGTGCTTTATGCTCATAAGCCTTTCATGGTGCAGTCAGTGTCCTGCATGCTGTAGCTCAAGAAGGTTGGCTAATACAATGTTCTTTCTCCAGGTTTTATTCAGGGCATGTAAGATTATTTGATTTTCCACTTCAGTGCGAGGTTCTTTATTTACTTGAACATTGTTCTAGATTCGGAATTGCCTGGGGTTAAGAACTGAATTCGCTCCTTGTTCAATCTCAGTGTTTTTCCCCGAATTAGGAACTTCCGTCTTGTGGAGCCCTGAAATGCACTTTTTTCATGTGAAGCAGAAGGCTTCTGCAGGAGCACCTCATCTAGATAACAGTTCGATACCAGCTCTGTCACTTACCTAGGACTGTCTGGAGAATCCCTGGAATGTACTGTTCACGCTGTTCCCGGGAGATGCTTTAAGCAAGCGTGTCTTTGCCAGTGCCACACGTGCAGGGACAGCACAAAGGGAAGACTTGCAGTGATGCATCTAAGGCAGCATTTATCAACCATTCACACTCACAGAAAAGTACAGAAATTTGCAGCCACCCCTCAACCCCTCCCCATACCCCCCCAACACACACATCATTATCAGACTTGGCATTTCATTATTAACTTTAGAATGCTCATTTATTTTACTTCTTAATCTGAGTTTGCCTCAGACTGCATAGCCCCCTCATCCTGGAAGCCCTGAAGGAATTTCACGACACTGAAACGTGGCGCTTGTGCTTATATAGAAAAAAAAACATATTTAATTCATTCCTTTTTTTCTTCATCTGTGATGTTTTCCTCAAATTCCCAGGCATACCCATTTCTGTCTGAAAGACAGCTCTGCGGTGCGACACACTGTTTGAGAAGCACTGTTCTAAGGGGTTTTCTTATCTGGCTGTCGTTTTTTGTCGTCTTATCTGTTCCGCAGTGACAAGGAACTGTTCCAGTACCTGCTGCAGCTGGTGCAGGTGCTGAAGTATGAGTCTTACCTGGACTGTGATTTGACAAGATTTCTGCTGGAAAGAGCGCTTGCCAACAAAAAAATTGGGCATTTCTTGTTTTGGCATCTCAGGTAATAAAGACTTAAATGTCCCGTTGTTCCCTCTTTCATTTAAAATTTGTCTATGGAGTGTGAAAATGAAGTTTCAAACTGGTTCCGTGACTCTCCATACTTGTTCCAGGGAAAACAACTTCATTAGATGAACGTACGTTAGAATCAATCAAACAGGCTTCTGAAATGATAATCGCTTCAGTATTTTCAGTTGTTGCATACGAAAATAGCATTGTTTGTTAGTTTTATAGTCAATTGCATATCGTTTATTTTTGAACTTCACAAATTGTATCATATCTAGTTCAATTTGAAATAAAAGGTATTGTGAAAAGCTCTTATAATAAGGAGTGAATATCACAATGGCTGGTGTACTTTTCAGTCACCAGGGACTAGGAAGTAGTAAAACACAGAAGTGTGACATAGAAGACTCAACTCTTCCCTTGTTACATTAGAAATAATAAGTGTGTTGTATGTGTCAGCTTGTTTTAATTACACTTTATGACTTTTCCAGGTCAGAAATGCACGTTCCTTCAGTGTCGTTGCGATTTGGTCTGATTTTGGAATCCTACTGTAGGGGAAGTTTTTCTCACATGAAAAGTCTGATGAAGCAGGTGAGAAAAATTTGGAAATGAGGACTCGTGCTTCCTGTTGCTGTAGGAGTTTGTTCTGCCACTCCAAGCCTTTCTTTATTTGTTAAACAATTTGGATTCGCCAAATCAGCTGATGTGGAATCACCATTTATGCATCCCACACCTCTCGGCTCGTGGCCACAAGGCCTGTGACCGCACACAGGGGAGAATGAGCAGGCGAGGGTGAGGTAGAGGCACCGCAGCCCCCGACTGGAGGAGATGCATGTCCCTCCCCAACAGGCAGGGGTCGCTGTGTTACTGAGAGCCAAGGAAACTCTTGTGACTCATCCCACTGGAACCTTGCTGGCTCGAACCCGGGATCATATAGGTCAGCCTGCACTCAGGTCACTACCTTTACTGTTTGGGCCACCCAGGAGGCCCCCCCAAGTCACTTTTAACTGTTTACAAGAACAGCATCCTTTCACTATGAGTAACCTGCCTGCTTATTGCATTGTACCGTTTCCTTTTCAGTACTGAAAGTTGCATCTATTGTCATTACATAAGATAAAGATGTGGGCCAAAGGCTGATACAGCTACAGCACCGTATGAGACCGCGTGGGTCAGGCAGCAAACAGACTGCCCGCGAATGTGAGTTCTGTCCTGGGGGTCTGATCTCGCGGTGATCCTTTCTTCCTGTCCCTTTCCCAGAACGAAGCTCTCAACAAAATGAAGTCCCTGAACGACTTTGTGAAGTCCAGCTCTCAGAAGACCACGAAACCGCAGACAAGGGAAGTCATGAAGTTTTACATGACACAGGACACCTACATGGAGGCCATGTCTGAACTCCTGTCCCCCCTCAACCCCAACATCATCCTCAGTAACCTCTGGTATGTGCCAAGTGCAACAGTCTCTCCTGCAGTCAGGCTTGGCTTTTGCTCTTCCCAAAGCTGAATCCTTTCTCCTCTGTCTGTCAGGCATGTTTGTGCACAGCTCGTCTGCTGGCAGGGCCCTCAAACTTTATTTTACCAGTAGGAAATCAGATATTTTCACATTATGCATCTAATGTATTTTGCAAGCCTGGTAAATGGTACTGAGTGCATGAGTCTGAATAAATACATTGAGTAAATAGGTCAGTTTTAGTTTTCACTTGGAAAGTCAAGGAGGTTGAACGGGAGATTGCAAAAGCTATATTTCAAATGCGTAAGATCATGGCAGTTTCTTTCTGGTGTTAAAACAGATCTGTAGTTTGCGTATTTCCCAAACTCATACCCATGGTTTGCTTGTCAGTCATTTTCAGGGACAGTGTCTGTGCTTTGGTAAAAGAAAAAGTTTTTTTGTGTGTGCTAGAGTGTGCTCTTTATATAATGAGGAAAGAGCTGTGTGTTTTCTGAGATCAGGAAGGTTGATTGCCTTCTGTTTGGGAATGTAAATGTGCACAGTCATGCCAGAAGCAGATACACCATGCAAAGTAATGTCAGCTGGCCAACAGCTTTTACGGTCATCCTTCGCCTGATACCTAAAATAATTGTCCATGTCCTCTGCGTCTCGGAATTGAATAAGCCCTTAGTGCCCTATTGGGAAGCTTCTGATATTGCTAGTGTCATGGTGTCCTTTCTGAATGCTTTTTAATATATGCAGTTCGCTTGGAGGTGTTCTTTGAGCACATTTGAGATTGTGTCTGCAGTGAGTTGGGTGAGAATATGCACTGTCCTGGAAGACACATCTGTCCAAGCAAGCTTTTAAAAAGAGAGTAAAAAAACAAAAAGCAATACGAATTTGACAGACAAAACTATAACTATATAGATATGTAAAATTACAAAAAGGTGAGTGTGTTTATAATTGGCTTTAGTTACTCGGGTTCATAAACGTTTGCCAAGAAAGAAAATAATGTGCAGACTAATTTAAATGTATATTTATGCACATAAGAAACACAGCTCTCATGTATAAAAGATTTCTGTAAATATTTTAAACTAAATGAGCTATTAATGTAAAACCTAATATACTGTCTTCCCTTTAGCATGATAGGTAAAATAGCTTAGCATGTGTGCTGGTTTTCTTCTCACAATTACCGGAACATTCTGTGTAAGTTGCATTAGAGACCTTCGTATCAGTGGCAGAGGCCTGCTTTGCGACAGGGGTTGGGTTCCTGATTACAAACACTTTACTGTCCTTATCTTGAGAAAACGTGCAGGGCGATTCTGAACTCCCGGACTGAAAACAGGTTAAATCATGTTTGTTTTAATGATAAAAAAACCAAAGGTTTATACGTTCCCCTTCTGGCACTTACAGACATAATGTGCCGAGCAGAGCACCACCAAAGTTAGAGAAAAAAAGGCATTGTGGTACAGCCTCACCCTTTCCCAGGTTCCTGTCTGCCTGGAGAGAGGCAACCGATCACCTTGGCCATCCCAGTGCAGGATGGATTTGAACACACAGCTAGATAAACTATTAGAGCTGACAGAGATGATAATCTCCCAGTCGACTAGACCTGTTCGGTTTTCACTGGGAATCACCATTTGTTTGGCAGATACAGGGCCGGCGCTCAGCTCTCACTGCCTGACAGCAATACGGGCTGTTTAAATGTGCAGAAACACACGTGTGAACATGAGCTGGGTTACATTATTTTAAAATGGAAATGGTACAGCTGCCAGGGTAGTGAGCGCAGCTTTTACAAATGAGTGACTAAAGCACTGCTTGACATGCAAAACTTGAAATTAGACCTGTGTTCCTCCGTTTGTAAAATGTTTGTTTGTTTGTTTGTTTGTTTGTTTGTTTGTTTGTTTTTGGACAGTCCCGAAAAGTGCAAGTACATGGACTCCAAGATGAAACCCCTGTGGCTCGTTTACATTAACGAGAAGGTGCAGGGAGATCCCATGGGCATCATCTTCAAGAACGGAGATGGTAAGAGCCACAGGCATCGCCACATGGCAGAAGATCGTTCTGCTCTACGTAAACCGATGTGATTGGTCCTGTGAGGCCACAGCCTGACAGACGGTCCTTGTATCTGACACCCCCAGCACTTACACCCCTTCTGCTATGGTGCAGGATTGTGGAAGCTTTGCTCCCTGCACTTGGATCATACACTGGCTCTGTCCAGGACGGCTCTCTCATCGCTGACGTTTCTTTATCTCCCCCCAATATTAGTAGCTCTCTCTGTCCCCTTTGGCTGCTGTTTGACTGGTTCTGGAATGAGTCTGAATGCAGGGGAATGGGTGACTGGCTTTTCAACTGGACATCTGTATTATATGATTCACCTCTAATGAAGGTTTCGTTGTTTCTCAAAAGAGACCAGTGAAATGACTAACCCTCTCTACAGATCGCTTTAAAATTGCCTTGATTCTTCTGCGGTTTTTTGTGAATTCTGTACGTACTGTATTCCTTCCGTATCAGAACTATCGGGCTAAGGAAAATGTGCAATGCAAAACAGTTGTCCTCAGGTGTTGCGGTGAACATGCTTTCATAGGTCTCTTTAAATAGCATGCACATTTTGACACTTTAGAAATTAATGGTCACGTGTTATTTTTTCTAAGATCTCCGACAAGATATGTTGACTCTACAGATGATACAGCTAATGGATGTTCTTTGGAAAGAAGAGGGACTCGATTTAAGGTCTGTATTGATTTAAGTATCAATATTGAAGACAAAATGGTTGTTGTCATTATCATAATAAAAAATAAAACTATTATAACAAGAGAGACAAGACTTCTGGTCCGCAAGTCCTTGATTAAAGACTATGAACGAGGAAACTAGAAAATATTTATATATTTGTTCACCTTTGAAGCTCATTAAACCCTGACATTTTTAAAGAATAAAGTAGTATTCATTTCAATGTTAGTGTAAGTCCATAAATTACATTTATATTAATATCTGAATGCTGTAAACAGAAAGTACTATACAAACGTACACAATGCTTGAAACGAAGTGTTAAAATTACAAGAATGTGCGATCATGTTGCTCATGGATTTGAACACATTATAATAAACAAGTACAGAGCAGTGGAAATAAAGCATAATGAGAGCTGCTCTGTGTCTTTAAAATCTGGTCTTGTAATTAAAGAATTAATGGCTTCTGCTTTATGTAAATGACATGGAGATAGGGTGATTAAAACCAGTCAGTCGAAACCCGGTGGGACATAAACGTTTGCCTGTTTCCATTGTTTCCATTGCCCTCTGCCTGCGTTTCAGGATGATTCCTTATGGGTGCCTTTCCACGGGTGACAAGACGGGTCTGATCGAGGTGGTGAGGAACTCGGACACCATCGCCAACATCCAGCTCAACAAGAGCAACATGGCGGCCACGGCGGCCTTCAACAAGGACGCCCTGCTCAACTGGCTGAAGTCCAAGAACCCGGGGTGAGTCCAGAGCAGAGCAGAGCTATAGGGTCCGTCCCGGGACTTAAGGGGACTTATGGTGCAAGCATTTCGAAATCCTCAAGGTCGTGGACAAACCTCGAATCACCAAATCCACGTCAACGCTGAAGCGCTGATCAGGAGGTACAAGTGGAACCTCGGTGGAAGTACATTATATACTGAGAACAGGAGGCACTGCGTTGCACAAAGGGTTGTGGGGGTTGTGAGCAACCTACCAGCCCTGCTGTTGAAGGTGATGCCCTGGTTTCCTTTAAGAAGAGAATGAGATCCTGGTATCAATTCATTACTAACTACCCAACAGACTGAAAGCGCTACAGGGGATGTAAGTGTCTAGCCTGCATACCTTTGGGCGATGGAAAGAAACCAGGGCTCTGACCAAACCTGGGGACAACATGCAAACTCCACAAAGACAGCTGCCCCAAGTTGAAATCAAACCCAGGATTGTGCAGAGGTCTTTACTGTGGGATAGGACAAATAGATTTATTGGCATTTAACTGAGCTTGGATAAGCAGCAACCAACTGGTCCTTCAACGTGACAGAGATATGATGCCCTGCAGTTTGAAAATATAGTACTGTTTGTCCACTGACCAAAAACCTTCACAGTGTTTTTCTGTATGTTTATGTTGGAGTCAGAAGACACAATAATGGGTTGAAAGGATGTATATACACTCATTCATTTACATCAATTTTATTGTGCTCATGTTCATTCTGAGGAGCCTCCTGCACAGGCAAGCTTATCTAGTGCAGTCCTGCTTGTGTGTGTAATGTGAGAGCAGAATGCCATGTGCTTAGCAAACACGTGAGAAGTGGTTCTCATGCATTTTGTGGTCTGCATAAGACTGTTCTGATATATTTGGAACTGTAATTACTGGAAGAGCAGACAAGCTGAAATTAAAACCTAAATGTTCTTGAAGATGCCTGTCATGTCTTGGAATGATTCAGACAGTAGGATCTTAAATTGAATGTTGCAAATTTACTGGCACAGCCTAATATAAAGACCAACCAGGCTTTAGTCCCTGGGGCAAAAGGAAGAACAGAATGCCCTGTTTTATTACAATTAAAAGCTAATAATAGACCTCAGATAAAACCCTGTCTGAAGCACGCACATAGGTTCTATTCAGAATGGACTATGGGCATTTGATATTTACAGAGTGTTTTATTCTTAAAAACAGAACAAATGTATACAACCCATTTAATTGCCTATGAAATAAATAATACAAATCAGTAAACTTCTCTTCCATGTTTGTGAGGGAGGAAATGAACGGAGAGGGTGCCTGTTTGCCTCAATTCCATAATCAGCCCTCTGTCGAATGTGCGGAAGCAGTCTTGAGGATCAGGCAGCCGAGATAGAAGATGATCTTCAAAGCTTCAGCTGCAGAAGTGTGCTTGGAGCAAACAAGGATGTGTGGAACTATTAACTCGAACGTCTCTACCAGCTGTGAAACGAGACCATAAACGTCCAGAATTTTGTCTACTGTCTCCCTCAGCACAGTTCCTAAAAGTGTACCTTGTAACTGACCAACACTTCCTCTTTCTCAAGAACATGGGCAGGAGATAGAAAGCACTGGCTCATACTAGCAGTGGGTGAGGAGTCAACGAGCAGATACGAACAGCACTGAATGGATGCCTGGTTTAATGGCTCTCTCTTCTCTGATGTTGTTGTACAGAGAGAAACTGGAACAGGCCATAGAGGAATTCACCCTCTCCTGTGCTGGCTACTGTGTAGCTACTTACGTCCTGGGAATAGGCGACCGCCACAGTGACAACATCATGATCAGAGAAAATGGACAGGTACTGTTTGAGTACTGTTTAAAATCATTCCAACACTCTGTAACTCTACTCACTCTGTAAGATCCAACCTTTCCTTCAGTAAAGTCTTCCTTAGTTTGTCTAGTCATATACACCTAAATGTAACTGTAATATACTGCGATATTCTAAATGCCCTGAAATTGAATCACTGCTGTCCACCAAACAAGGATTACCAGCATTACTGAGAAATAGCATACACGGGTATACATAATTAGCTTTTAGTTCAGGTGGGGAGCTGCGTCAGCATGCATAAGCTGCAAAGGAACAAGTAATAGGTTTATTCCATGCTGAAAAAAAGAAAAAAGAGAACACAACGTTTCGGCCGTGGAGCCTTCTTCAGGTGTGACACCTGAATTGACACCTTTCTTCTTTTTTTCAGCATGGAATAAACCTATTACTTGTTCCATAATTAGCTTTTTACTCTTTGTAGGTTTCTCCACCTAAAAGTAAAGACTAAAAAAGGGTGTTTAATTTTTAAGGACTTTTCAGTTAGAGGACAGTACTAGTTCAGTACCCAGAATTAAACATGAATATCAGCAGCAGTATCAATGTTCCTCCACCAGAGGGAGCTGTGGCTCTTCACCTGTTTACCAGTTCCTTTTTTAACTCCCCTTTTCTTTAACAGAATAAAACTGCAGAGATTTTCTTTCTCCAACAAACGCTTTAATTAACTTACCTTTCTTCTGTGAACATACCCTTTGAAACTCTTTTTCTAGGAGTATTTCTTTCCTTAAGTATTGCAGGGTACAAAATAATGATTCTGAAGTGTTATATATTTCTGAATTTGGATCCTTTGAATCAGATTTAGGTAGAAATACGTACTGCTAAAGATCACAGGAGGTCCTTAAAAATTGTGAATCCTAAAAAGCTTAAAAGGAAGGCATATTCCATTGATGACCCGTGTGTGAACCAGACGTTTAGTTTTGAATATTTTTTTTCGGATCAGCTCTTCCACATCGACTTCGGACACTTCCTCGGTAACTTCAAAAGCAAGTTTGGAATCAACCGGGAGCGCGTGCCGTTCATTCTGACCTACGACTTCGTCCACGTCATTCAGCAAGGCCGAACCAACAACAGCGAGAAATTCGAGAGGTGAGACCGCTGACAGTGTTATATTCACACGCTTGCTAGTTGACAATTTTTGTTTCTCATACCAAAGTAGGCGATGCATGCTCTTTTAATCCTTGCATAATTATGTGAATCAATAACGATGCACTGCGTTTAGGTAAACCCTCAGGGTTCAGTCAACGTATTGAAGATAACATTTCTGGATTTTGGCACTTTTTTGTACTTTTTAAGAACCAAACCAGTATTTTGAACTACCAATGAGTGGCAGAGAGAGAAGGAGAGGGCGTGGGTCAAGCCGATACCAGCATGCTTGTTTCTGACAGACCAGGGGCTGGGCCTTGGGGTGGCGTGAAGGTCAGGGACAGAGGTGTGCTAGCTAGCTCTGGATGGACCGGGGAGGCACAGCGGGCTGGACTCTCCGTTGGCTATTTTAACACACGCTGGCTGACCTGTACACGACATCCCCGTGCTGCAGGAAGGGAGCAGCGCTCGTGCAGCTGCAGTCTGGCGCCCTGCCCGCAGTCCCGGGACGAGGTGCGCGGTGCCCCTCCGTCAGGGGCCGCTCGTTGGAAACCCACGGCGCTCAGCGCGGAGCGGGCCTGGATATGTTTCTGTTGACTCCCGACCGGGATTGGTGGGATGCTCAGCCTGCGCACACCCCCTTCGAGGCAGCGCAGGGAGAATGACCGGCAGGTTTCTTGTCTGTGCCCCTCAGGTTTCGGGACTACTGCGAACAGGCCTATAAGATCCTGTGCAGGAACGGGACGCTGTTCGTGAACCTCTTTGCCTTGATGCGGGCAGCAGGACTTCCTGAGCTCAGCTCCTCCAAGGACATCCAGTATCTGAAGGTAAGACGCGGTCCAGCGGGCCGAAGCCTGCCCACCTCGCCCCTTGCCGGCCGCGCTGCGTGCTGACCTGTGCGCCTGTTTTGCAGGAGTCTCTAGCCCTGGGGAAGACCGAAGATGAAGCCCTAAAGCATTTCAAAGTGAAGTTTAATGAAGCTCTGCGGGAGAGCTGGAAGACCAAAGTGAACTGGATGGCTCATAATGTAGCTAAAGATAACAGGTAGAGGAGGTGGGGTGTGAAGCAGAAGGAAACACCAGAGCTCTTTCTCCGAGAGATTTAACTTGTGCAGCTAGTGTTGTTGGAAAAAAAGTATAATACAGCATTTTTTTATTTTTTTCATTTTGTGTTCGAGTCAACCACTTTTTTTAACTGTACAGATGTTTACAGATGAGGTATAGCTAAGCAGGATGAGTAGGATTGCTCTGTTATTTACCAGTCCACAGGACAGCGTACATTTACCATGACCAAAGTGAGGTATTGTTTCAATACTTTGAAATCGGAGTGGGATATTGCAACATGTTGTGTGACTTGAAACATCTGGAAAAAAATCAAACACTTGTAGTGTTTAAAATTGTTTACATCCTTAATGGATGTCATTTTAAGTTCTATTTATTTGTAATCTTATTGTGTTTTGTTCTGTTTTACATCGTGTACATTGTCATTGTTGGCACTTAAAGTGAAACTTCTGAAGTGGTTCTGTAGTGGTGCACTTTGAGTTATAGCCAGTGAAGTTTAATCTTTACGAGTTATGGAAAAACAAAAGAAAATCATGGTTTAAAATCATATGTAGAATGAAGCCTTGCAGTATATGAAGTTAATCTGATTTAAGTCAACGCTCAAAACTGAGGGCCTGAGAAGTTGGCCATTAATTTAGAACAACCTGAGTACCATTGCAATCTGGGACCTCACATTATCAAATCAAAGTCTATAATACCATATTGAGCGTAACTTGCGTAAGACTCCCGTGTCCAAGATGGCTGAATAACAAATCCCAAAGTGTTTCACATACAGGAGAGGACCCACTTCACACAAGGTTGAAGTGCTACTCTGCCTGGATGACACACAGCAGCCATTCTGCCCCAGCAGCTCCACTGCACAGCAAGTCAGGGGTAGAAGGGAGAAATTGTGTTGCCAATTTAACTAAGGGTGAACTTTACGGAGGCCCGTTTGTGGAAGTCCAATGATGAGAGCCTGAAAACTGGGCTTCACACCCATGTTCTTACATTGTCATGGGATCTGTAAATACCTCAGGTTACTGTCTCATCAGAAATAGGGCACCTGCTTCTGGACAGTGTTCCCGGTCGCCACACTAGGGCATTGATTTGGAAATTCGGATCCAGAGGGAGCCAGCCACTGTCCCATGAAAATCACAGCGGAGATCTGTTTTTTTTTTTTTTTCCCCTTAGAGGTCTCCCATCCCAGCAGTGAGCATGCACAGCCTTGCTGAGCTTCTGAGATTTCAAGAGATTTCAGGCTAAAAGGTGGAAAACTGCTATGAATTACATGAAAGAATCATAGCATGTGCAATAAAGTGTCAATTCCACAATATCTAGGATAAGCCATGCAGGAAATACAGTGATCTAATGAGGGAAACTTTGGGACCTTTTGAAATGTTAACTATTGCAGGGAACACAGAATGAATAATAGCAGCAGATACCATAAATATCATTAGAATCATGACTTAGGTTCCATGCAAAATTATGAAATTGTAGAAAGATCCTGCTTAGATCAAACTGCATTATGATGATTAACTTATGCATTTAAAGGTGGAATTGCTATTCTATTGGGGCACTACTGGGGAATTTGAATACTTGTTGTTGAAATGGTTTAGTAGCTTGATGGGAAAATGAGAGGACTGAAATACAGATAAGTCGTTTTCATTCACCTGTGACTTTCACCATAGTTGAAAGTTCGCAGTATACAGTAATATTCCAGATGTGCTTTGTTATTCCTCAATATGGTTTTTAAATAAAAATATATCTAGATCTACTAGATGGTTCAGAAATGATGCCTGGCTACATGTGTTTAGGAATGTTACATATACATGTAAATTTAGCAGTATTTCCATTGTCCACTTGGGCAAAGGGTCCTGTGTGCCACATTTCTGTGCAGTTTCGAACTCATAGCTACTAGTCTGCACTCATCGGCATTACAGTGGGCAGCGCAAGAAAACCTCTTTCTGCAGCACATCCCTGGGCACGTATAATTGGAGATCCCTTCTGGTCTTGAAATGGGACTTTTAGAACAGGAGTGATTTGGTCTAAGCCAGAGTGGTGCAACAGTCCTGGAGGGCTGGTGTATATACAGGTCTCGGTGATGAATGCTGCCGAACCCTTTTAAGTTTTGAACAGAGAAGCCTCTGTGGGGACCCGATCCAAAAATTCAAAATACCCCCAGCAGCCATTTCCAAAATAAAACATGAAACACAAAACCAGAAGACATGTGGAAACTACATGGAAGTGATGTTGAAAATTGAGACTATGCCTTTATACAGAGGGTGGTGGGAGTGTGGAACAAGCTACCCAGCCATGGTGTCAAAGCCTTGGATCAGTTTGCTTTAAAATTCAAGCACCTGCCTGGATGGACTCAATAGCTTCCCCTTGTTTGTTTCTTCATTGAGTTACAGTGGCTCCCAGGTGTCACACCTTTAAGGAGACTTGGAAAACCTACAGGTACATCTGGATTATAATAGACCCATAAAGGTCTTACACAATTACTGTACTTGAAAGTTCATGCTCTGCTGTTCTCATCACCTGTAGTGCGGTAAAACAGTACCATATGGGTGTAGGAGCTGCCAGGCCGTGGCCTGAGATCTGAACCAGCAGCGGTTCGGTGTTGAAATACGTGCTTGAGCCTTGCTGTCACTGCACCCTTTCGAGGCGCAATAACTACTTTCAGATAGTTTTCATTTTAACAAGAACAAAGCAGCAGGTACCACCATATTATTGTTTTGTTTAATAACTTTGGTCTGGTTAGCCCTGTAAAAAATGCACTTGAGCATAAAGCTTCAATATTTGCATTCTTGCAAATTTATGTGTGCCTTTGCCATACCTTTGGAAATGTAAAGGTATTTTATCTAATATATATATATACACACACATGTATATACTCAATGGTTATAATGAGCAAATTCCCAGGTCCACCTACAAATACAAATGTTTACAAAGCATGTACTGTAATAAAATATTCAAATGCTTGATGTGAATTGTGACTGATGATGTGCTGTTTTTTTCTACAAGTAAAAGTGGTTTTAATGGAAGCCAAACTTATGAAGTTGATGCTGTCAAAGTATAAAATTATGTCTGTAAACTTTAAATAAAGAGCCACTTTTTCAAAAAAAATCTTGCCCGTTTCTCCTGTAGAGGAACATGGGAGGTACGTAGAAAAGGGTGTTTGCCTTTAAAACAAAACTGTGTCTTGTTTTGTTGATTTGAATTTATGTAGACCATAAGAACTTTATGCCAACACTGGTAAGGTTTTTTCTAAACATGGACTAGTGCAGGTGTGTCAGTATTAAACAATGAGGCAGCCTAGCCTCAATATAGTTAAAAGAAATAAGCGGCCATTGCCTATTTCAGAGAGCTGTACACTGCAATACATTATTAAACCTGATAATTGGCACACTCCCTGCACCAGTGTTATAGACTGAAACCCCTTTTGGAAAAAGAGACCGTACCATGCCCAGCTAGAACGCTCATACAGTTCAGCAGGCACCACATGACATATTTTAACACGAGTAACAAAAAGAAATGAGCTGCATCTTCATGAATCCTCTGCTGCCACTGAGCTCTTTGCTTAATTGCATCTTGATTAGATTATTTGTAGCTTTTTTTTTCAGCTCACAACACGCAGGAGACCTGAAGAACCCCAAGTTAAAAAGCTGCCTCCAAACAGCTTTAGGAATAATAATAAAAAAAAAAAAAAATCAGTGAAATTAATTAGGTCAGGTCAATCAAAAGCTCAGTGACGTACTGGAACTAAAACCAGCAGGAGTGTGTGTGAGGTCTCAGGACAACTACCGTTGTGCCCCTGCCCAGTGTAGCTGTCAGCTGTTTAAAGCTGAAGAACAAGGAGTGGGAACACACCTGCACTGAAGCGCTTCTTGGGTCATACAAACGTTTCCCAGCTCAGATCTTCGTTTCCACCCTTGCACAGCCCTGTCCTTAACAGGATTCATGCAGAATCTTCTTCAAAAAATCTGCAATGCAAATTGCCAGTTGAGTCATTTTTTTTCTCATCTGTTTCCCTTGAGGCAGTTGGAGAGAACATGATGCTTTTCGCTCTGCCTGTCCCTCAAATTCTGAAGACGACTTCAGTGAGAAGAAAATAATTAATGGAAGACAGCCATGTAAATAAAATTATTTCCATCAAACTGCAAACCAAAGGAGGGAAGTAAAATTCATGTAATTTGACTCTTTAAATATCGGGCAAAAACATCTTATTTAAATAGCTGTTATCAAAGGTAGGTAAACTGTCTTACTGTACCTTAAAAATGTGAGTCTTAAAATCTTCTTGTTCCGCTCCAGAAAAAAAACAGATAAAATAAAGACATGCTACTTTTTTCCATCTCTTTATCCTTTATTTTTTTAAGAGCAAGCATGTTTTGCCACAGTACAACCCTGGTAGGTCACGAAGTGAATGCTGCCCCACCAAATACATAGTTCCCAACAGTCGTTAAGACATTCGGTCCTTTTCCTTTTTACGGCAAAAAAAACAAACAAAATAAAACAGATGGAAGGCAATCACACCACAGGAAACGTGTAACTGCAGCTTGTAAAGATCTGGATCATTTAGACCTACTTGAAAATCAGTAGTATATTTGCAATGAACTGTTTCACAATATTTAAACTGGTATAACCCCCTAACCCAACCCTTTAATTCTATATGGTACTTAACACAAAAATAGGCTTGAATAAACTGTATGCAAAGACTGTGTCTTAGTGTCCATACACACATATTTCAGGGGTTCAAAGAAAAACCTGGTCATGTCGGGAATATTAATCCCACAGAGCACAGCAGAGATGAGCATACCTGACATCAGAGAAGACGGAACTCTGACACAATTTGTTTGTTCTCCTTCAACGCGAATTAAGTTGCACCTCAGACTGAGAAGCATTTGGGGGAGGGTACCCTTCTGATGCAGTATTCCCAACGCAAAGGACTTGGCTACGCCCAACGCAGAAGATGGCTACCTAACGAATGAGCTTCAGCCGCTTCCCAAGGGCCTTCAGCTTCAGTCCTGAGGGCCGGGGACAATTTCACCGTGAAACATTAAAACATCACGAAATCCTGAGATTTGGACAAATCTCAATACCCGTCGGTCCTCAAGGAACTTAAGTTTCTCTAACTGAACAGATTACCTTCTTAGCAGATCAATAACTTGCTCAAGCGTTCTCAAATCTTTAGAAATGTGTAAATAGGAGATGAGATTAATGTGGATTATTGGACCCTGCAGGAACAGGATACATGACCCTAAATGTAACTATGATATTTGTTAACGTATCGACACGAGCATCATTTTTATATTGTCAGAGTGTAAAAAACAAAAATTTGGTTATCACAAATCCCCATACTGAATGTTGAGCAATTATTATTTCTTGGTCGTAGAGGGAGGAGCTAATAAAAATAGCTGGCTCTTTCATTTTAAGCACTATTATTGATATGAATTTCACACAGCCTTGCTCACCCATGGCCTCTGCAGTAGGTAAGACGCCTATACAGTATTTAGTACTGGAAATGCATTGCAGCTTAAGAACTGTTGAAACACCTATTACCATATACAGATTTGGAAAATGTATACCCACGTTTGCTACATATAGCATAATGTACAACGTCTTCAGAAAGTTTTAAAGTACAATATCTAAAGATGACAGCATATGGAAAGACCTAATTTTTGTACACTCCAACAAGAACACAAGACACCTATTTGAGACGATTAAAAACTTTCACTTTTGATAAAACTAGGATTTTTCATCATTATGAGTAACGTAAAAAATAATTAAATAAAACCAATTCCCCGGATTTGTTAAGAAGCCTAGCATTTAATAATTTACAAAACTATAAATCCGCCACAACTAAAACCATTTGGACATCTTGTTTTGTCTAGAGCTAAATTAGTGTTGTGAAAGGGCAAAAGGCACTCCCCATACCAGTGAAAGAAGCAGAAGTCTGTGATCGAGTTTGCCTTCTCTCTCCAGGCTCCGTTAGAAAACGGGGAGAGCCCTCCAGAAACTAATTGTGTGTGTGTAACCTTCATTTTCCCCAAACAACAATTCTACAACACAAGCTGCATCCTATTTCCAAAAGGCCATTTTGCAACTCCCAACTGTGTAATCTGAAACAGTCAAAAACAAAATCTTCCCAAACGTACTTCTGAAATCTGCTCGACAGATCTACTCGCCATCCAGGGCTCGTTACGTAGACAAGCTTGAGAAATTAAAAACCCACCATACCCGTCGCCCACTTTCGATCCTGCTACAACACCGACCCTGGTCTTGAGGAGCCCCAGTCCAGCAGGTAGTACAAATCAACACTAGATCCCATTTCTAAAAACTTGGACCAATGGCATTGTGATCAATAAAGCAGGAGATTTAACTGTACAATTTGGAGATTAGAGTTTAGGTCTCTAAAACCCCTTCAGGCCTTAAAGTTCTCTCATTTGAACAGACCACTTGCTCAATTAATCAGAAAATTACAGTTGTTTACAATTTTTAGAAACAGGGGACATACAGCATACAACTGTACTGGGGCTCTCCAGAAACACAAAGGGAGACCTCTAACTTCACCACTATTTATTTCCCTTGTAGTTTCTAATTCATCCTAACCCCAACCTCTCCCACTGCAGCTAAACATGCTTTCACAAACCTGCATGCAGACAGCAGATCATTTCAACATTAAAGATGCCCATACCGCTAACAAACAAGGCCTTCCAGAAACCCGTTCCAGGTTCTGAGAACAATAAGGAGTAAAACAGGTAGCATTTTGAGAAGAAAAAAAATATATATCTTAAAAAAATCATATTCAACAAATCTTCCAAATTCATTGTATAATTTTTATACTATTACCAGAAGGAGCACAAGTTTACCAAATGTAAACATATAGTTTAAAACAACTACAGTACAGTTTCATGTACAAGGAATATATATTTGTAGTCACTGGAAATGTAGAATGACCCAAGATTCATATTTAAAATCTCTCGCTAGAAGAGCGTCTGGCTGCAAGCGCACCTGCTGAACGAGTCCTTCCAAACCAGGAATCGCCCGGAAGTTCCCACTCCAGTTTTCCCACAGTGAACCTGTGAGCCGAGACGGAACCATCAAGGTTTTCCGATGGGGAAGAGAAAGGCGACGTCGCCCACTTCCAGTCCATCGCCTCCTTGCTCCCGTACAATTGCACAAAACGAAAATAAAGGATGCAAAACCGTACAGCGCTGTCTTCACGATCGGACAAATGCCAACAATATGCCACTGTTATTTTTTCTTTTTAAAAAGCAGATACAGTTAAGCCATCACGTGTTTCGTCGTCGTTTTTTAATTTGCACAAGCCTGGTGAATTCTGATTAAGTGTAGCATCTAAACTTTCCCAACCCCACCCCCAACAATAAAAATAAACTACACTCCAGTCGGAGAAACCTCTTGTCATGGGTTTCTTTCTCAAAAGCACATTTTATACAAGCATGACGAAAATTCTTAGCCAATTTGTTCTGAAACATGCTATAGTTGTAGTGACAAGTATACTACAGAATATAGCGCACCACTTTGTATATTGGACCCAGTCTTCTAATCCCAGTCTTCACTACCACATTGACTACTTACATGTTCTTGCTGTATTTACAAAATATTAAAAAGTAATTTATTCCTCTACATTACTGACCTCATTGACACATTTCCCATGCACTAGAAAGAGAAACAAAAAGCCCAGTATGAGCAGTCGGTACTGCCTCACCATTTTCGTCTAACGGCAGAGAGGAAATGCTTCTTTATGCTGTCGTACACAAAAAAGACAAAGAAACACATGTGCAGTATATACCCATTTTTTCTCTTTTGTTTTGCAGAGATGGCAGCGAAGAAAAGTGCAAGGTGGTTTCTTATGTGGAGTCAACCAAATGAAAAACCTAGAGGCCAGGGCAAAAGTCTGTAGAGAAAAGAAAAAAAATCGGTGATTGCCCGATTATTGGGATGCCGAGTGTGGCACCTTCTACTTTTATTAAATACGACTGTACTAGAATAAGCATGTGCCATGACTAAGCAAACCTTGGCCACTAGATATTAAAAACTTAAGCAGCAACACCAGTCACCACAACACCAGATTTTAAATTATTTTGTCTTGAGTGGAATTTTCTGTACACCATGGGTCCTTGCAGCTGTGTGGAATCCTGGCTGGTGGGCCAGGTGTTGTGTGTGTGTGTGCGCATGCGTGTGTGTGTGTAGGTGTGTGTGTGTGTGTGTGGGGTCAGTAGGTGAGTGTGGAGTCATCCCACTCCAGCTGCTGTTGTCTGCTGCCACTCTGCTGGCCCTCCACCCCTCCCTCCTCCTCCTCGCTGCTCTCCGACTCGGCGCTGGTGATGTCGTCCTCCTCGCCATCCTCGCTGTCCTCCTCTTCCTCCTCCTCCTCCTCCTCCTCGCTGCTGTGCTGGTCCTCGTAGGTCTGGGCGGGAGAGACGACGGCGATGCGGTTAACGAGCTGGCCTCACCCCACTCTCTGACACGTGCTGGCCGTGGAGAGGCGCCCACGGTCAGGCCGAGCCCTCACCTCCATGGGGTTGACGGTGATGGTGAGGGCGGAGTCGTCCCAGTCCATCTCGTTCTCCTTCCCGCTCTCCTGGTCCCTCACGGAGCGCTGGTGGGCCGCCCGGATCCGGAACACGCCCAGGATGATCATGAACACCAGGAAGCTCACGCACACCACGATCACGATGGTGGCGGCGCTGGGCACCACTGCACGAGAGCGGGGCGAGAACAGAGGGCACCGTGAGGCGCTCAAATCACACCGAAGCTACGAGCAGGTGTGCTGCTGAGCCCCGATTCGGAACAGCTCCTAGCTTCGGGTCTTATTTCTGTAGCATTTTAAGAGCTGTTGAGACTTCCAAGTATTACACTCGCGTGTTCCTCCGTAGCGTGGTGCGTTTCAGTCTACACACTTCTTTTTTCTTATTGAGGTCTTTGATAGGTGTGCCTACAACAAAAACTCTCGCTTTTTACGGGACATTACAAACTTAAATATCAGTTTAGTAACTGGAACGAGGTTAGTCACTAAGAATGAAATAAAAACACCTCAAGTCAAATTGTCTCCCTTCCTTTGTCCTGTTCTTGTTTTACAGGGGTTTTACAAGAAACAGATACCCACACATCGCAAAAGGGGAAAGAAATTGGTATTTTACAGAACGTAATTAATACTTGAGGGCAGCAGGGGTAATTCTGGTAAAAAGGATGTCCTGTGTGCAGCTCGGCTGTGTACTGGGCATGGACAGCAACTCTTCGCGCTGCTGTCGATTTAGATGCACAAACACACCGGGACACACTTCAAGAAAGTGGTTCTACTTATTTTACATCAATGCAACTTCGTCTTTCCCGAATGTTTTGTCAGCCTTGGTCAGTCACCTACTTTAAGTTTCTACACCGTAAATAACACAGAGGTGTGTGCAAGCTGAGCTTTATTTAAAAAAATAGAATGGCTCTGTATGTATTAGACTGATGGCAAGAAAAATTGCATTTAAAGTAGAATGTTAGAGGGGGCTTCTAGTCATCTTCCCAGCTCATATTTCTTACTACTGATCAACCGCCTACAGGCCTGAAGAACTTCTGCAGTATGTTCTGTTAAAACTTCATCTTTGAAGCCCACTTTTTAATTGACTTTAACCCTCATACAATTCCGTCAAATCACTTTCAGAACCGACAGTCTGCCGAAGAGCTTTCCTTTGGGCCACGGGGTGAGGACTCATTTCACGCAGTTCAGCAATCTGCCGCCGACAGATAGTCGGCCTCAGCCTTCCGATTGCCTGGAAGCAGTGACCTCAGAGCACGCCGGGCTGTGGGTTCTCATCCACCTGCTGCAATCTGAACGACTGCAATCTGCTGCAGGCCGTACCTGAGGACTGAGGGGCTGTGACCAGGTTGTGCCCTGACAGGTCCACAGAGGCGTGGTAGACGGGGTTGATGAACTGAGGCTGGGCCATGGCGTTGTTCGGGTGGTCGACCGGGTTGGCTGTGTGGATCACATTGACCTGCAGCAACAGCCGGGAGTAAGAGCAGGAACTCCCCATGGAAGCAGCACAACGTGATCTTATCATGGGATACACACTCTACATACACACTTCTTCGTTTTTATACTGTACTGTAATCATGTGGAGGCATAATATATTACCAATACCCCATTCTCCACATGCATTAAAAAAAGAAAAATAGTCAAAGAAGGGGGCATGCACAGAAAATCAAAATAACAGATGAATTTCTTTCTACTGCTGCACCTTTGTTACTTTTCCATCACCTAGAGAAAGACTCAGCACATCTCTGTCATTTTGGCCATCTTTCTGCAAATATATGCTGGCGATTTCTAATGCTGTAATTAATTGTTGCCCAGGGGATACACTTCACTCACAGTGACCTTCCACATTTGAGCACGTGACCTGTCCGGCTTCAAACCGTTTCCAGGGATTTGTTCCGTCAAATGCAATTCCGACAGCTACCTCTGTATTGGTTAGCCTGAGGGTTTCCATTTTCCGACCTACAGCACCATTCTGAAACCCTGCACGGGCCCCACACTTCCTCCTCCTGTGACGGACAGGAGCCGACTCCTACCTCAACCTTGAACTCGTTGCTGATGTAGCGGCCGTTCAGCTCGGAGCAGACCAGCTTGAACTTGCGGTCGAAGAGGGACTCAGTGCGCCAGTTCCTGTAGCGGATCTGCTGCAGGACTTGCTCGTAGTTTGCCATGGTGTCCACTCCTATGAAACAGAGGTCAATTTTAATTTGAAACCGAAAAATACTTTCCAACAAACAGAATCGTTCCAGACACGAAATGTGCTTTTTATTTTATTCCCCCCCTTTAACGCGTTACAGAAAAGAGACTTCTGCTCTGGAATGAGCCCAGAAAACCCCAACCAGATACATTTCAGGGCTACTTTACGGACAGGCTGAAGAAACTGAACTTTCTCAGTCCTGAAAAGAAAAGACTATGAGGGGTCCTGATACAAGCATTCGACATCCTCAAAGATGCTGACAAAGCCGACTCTCCGGATTTCTTTCGGACAAACACTGAAACACCAAGCACAGGTGGAGAATACACGGAAGTAGATTTAAAACTGAGAACAGGAGGCACTTCTTTACACCAAGGGTTGTGGGAGTAGAGAACAAGCTGCCCAGCCATGTTGTTGAAGTCGTTACCCTGATGTCTTTCAACGAACAGCTGGCCAAGATCCCCAGATCAATAAACTACTATCAAATGGGGTCTTTGTGCCCAAGGGCCTGCTCTTGTTTGGAACCAATATATTTACCCTCAGCTGCTTTCTTCTCTTGCCCTCTTTCTGTTGCTCCTTGACAGCATCATGTGCAGTCCATTTAGGACAGCACACACACCCGTCTCAAACTGCAGTTCTATCCTATGCAGTCCTATGGGGCGGAGCGGTGGCTCTGTGGCTCAGGATCTGCGCCTGTGGCTGGAAGGTTGCCGGTTCAAATTACGCGGCCAGCAGTGGAATCCTACTCTGTTGGGCCCCTGAGCAAGGCCCTTAACCCTAACTGCTCCAGGGACGCTGTACAATGGCTGACCCTGCCATCTGACCCCAAGCTTCTCTCTCCCTGTCTGCGTGTCTGTGTGACTCATGGAGAGCAAGCTGGGGTCTGCGAAAAGACGAATTCTTAATGCAAGAACTTGTACGTGGCCAAAAAAGTGATCTTATCTTATCCTCTTTCACCAGGGTGATGGTGTTAATGTGTAATAGAACACTGTGACCAAGTCTTGTTCATCAATCTGCCACTGCAGATTGCTAATTTTTTGGCTGCAGCTCCATAGACAGCCAACACCACTATATAAATCAACACTTAAGAGGGGTCAGGAGGAAAGGTTTGATAATACACAGATGTCCATGATGAAGTGTCGGTAGTGAAGCAGCATTGACCTGTGATAATCATGCCCAGATTGGAGCTGCTCATCTCCAGCCCCCTCTGCTGGATCAGGGCCAGATCCACCTCCAGAGACTCCTGCTCGGCATTCAGCTCGTCCCCGATCACGGTCACCTCGCATGTGTCCAGGTTATGCATGATCTCTTCCGAAACCACAGACTCTTGGACTGAAAAGCAGCAGCAAACAAAAGAGAACCGGGATTTCCATCATAGGTCACATACTCAAAGGTGCCGAGCCATCTCAGAATCAACGGTTTCTTGAAACTTTCAGGAAAATGTTTGAGGACCGTTGCAACCTCTGGAAAATAATTAATTTGGGCCTGGCATACCCTCTAATTTTGTAGGCTCAGAAGGGAGCTATGACAAACCTCATTTGAATTTAGAACTAATTCAACCCGTGCGAACCACCCATGGTATTTATTTTTAAAAAGAAACAAGTCTTTTTTGCTAATCACTCCAGGAAGCGTGTTCACTACAAAAGGCTTTTTTTTATTCAGGGCTGGGAAAGGATCTCCACCCTGCTGGGTCACACGGCTGCCCGCCTGTCCGGGCCAGATGGTGCGGCCTAGCCCCACGGGGTTACCTGTGGGGTCCTCCTCGCCCTCGCCCTCCAGCTCCACCTCGCGGGTGATGGTGCTGACGATGCGCAGCTCGGGGAAGAGGGCGACCCCCTCGCCGCTCTCGAACTCGGAGGAGGAGCGGGCGAAGTGGTCGATGCCGCTCAGGCTGATCTTGGGCTCCTCGGGCTGCAGGACCATGACGTAGCCTTCGGCGTCCGGGACGGAGATGCAGGTCTCCTCGTTGAAGCACCTGGCTCGCGGGGGGGACACACGGAAAAGCTCAGAGTCCCACATGGGAGCAGATGGAGATTCACCTTTCAGACACCCCTTGCTTTCGACAAGCTGGAACGACACTGTCCCTGGCTAATGAGTGCTCACGTACATATTCCTGAAGGGGTGGGATTTAAAGGGAAGCCGCAGTTCCAACTTCTCAGACCGGTAATTAAATCTCAGTAACAAAATCAATTCATTGGCAAACAATTTACAAATTTCAAATTAAGCACAGAAACGGGAACTTTGTGATAGTACTATAAGGCACCATGCTGTCCCAAACCCCGGGTCTTCCCACAGGCGAAAGCAAGAGTTTCCTCAAATTGTGACAAACCTTCCCTTCCTGCTCACTAGTCACTGTCAGGACTAACGTAATACCACGCACGAACACAATAAATTACAGGTTGTGCAGCAGACGTTTCACAACAGAAATGTTCCAACAGGATCTCCATGCGGATTTGACAAATAAGTAGTATTTGACAGCAATACCACCTTGAAATCAAGAGCAATAGTTCTTTTGGATTGAAAGAGATGCATTCACAAGCCCGCTTGTTTACAATGCAATAGGGCCGCAACACGGCACCGGCCGTTTTGTTGTCTCGTTCTGAACCGCAGCACATGGTGCTGAGCACACCTGGATCTTATGCAAACTGGAGGTTTTACAAGTTACTGTAGTACATTTTACTTTTATTGTGGTTTGAAAAGCACTCCTCAAATAATATAAAAATAGTGTTGCAGTTCCTCTTTAAACAAGAATGGAGGCACGCCCGATATTTATAACACATATTTCGGATTCTCTAGTTTGATAAATATTGCCCTGCACGCCTATGTATCCAGATGCGTGTGTATACACGTGCCCACAGCGCCACCATGTGGCCGCCAAAGTGAGGCCGACGGCAGGGGGACGTACTTGACTGTGGTGGTGACGCGCAGCCGGCGGATCCCTGGCGTGGGGAACTGGCGCGAGTTGAGGTAGGAGACGTGCTGCATGGCCCGGTCGAAGCTCTCGATGTCGTCTCCCTCCATCACCAGGGAGGACTGGCTGGGGCTGAACTGCACCTGAGCCAAGGACACGACATCAATGCCCAGCCATCAGCCCCCTGCACAACCCGATCTGCCGAAAGGCTTCACCCTGAATCTGCTCTTTGCAGGGTGACAGACCTCTGTCGTACGTGACAGTTTGGGGTAACGGTTTATTATCTCTGTAAGGCTTCCAACGCATGTGCGGTGATCGATCCTGAACACCCACTCAGGGTCATCAGAGCTTGACTGGGGCTGTACTCAGATTACAAGAACCCTCTGAGAATGGTTCAATGCCAAGAATTACAGGAAGATGGCCTCAGAAAATTGCCACGGTCTTAAAATTAAAGATTCATTTCACACCTTTTCTGAACTGCATTTCATGCATCTGACTTCATGCATCTCCCGACACATCCATTAAAGCTCTTCAAGTGGGAATGGGAAAAAAAATATATCAGGCTATGGAATGGGTGTACCAGAGGCTGCTGAAACTGCTCTGTTTTTTACACAAGTGTAACTCATCCAATGAAAGGACCACTTGTGTGAGGAAAAAAACCAAACCCTTGCAGCAGATGACAGCGAAGCACTTTGGTTTTCAGAAGAGAGAGTGGCTCCGAGACCAGCACACCCTGGGAGCTCTGCACATGCTATGGACATGCAGTTATCTGAATGGGACATCTCCGACCCCTGCAGTCACCACTCACCTTCACACTGCTACCCACTTCGTCAGGGACCTGGATGTCCAGGCCTTCTTTACAGGTGTACAGACAGTCAATGACTTTCTTGTTGTCCAGCTTCCCAGACCGGATCATTAAACCGGCGAGGTTCCCACGGAAGAACTGGGTCATGCGCACACTGCCACCTAGTGGCCAACAGAGGAAAACGATATCAGTTAAAACCAGCAGGAGGCGCAGTTCTGCTCGGTGACAACAGGCATGCATGTCTCCACATGTGGCAGATGACGAAGGGTCATGCAAAGTTAGTGCTTCGGCTCTCGGGGGCAGGCTGCCAGGACGATGGATGAACTGAAAAACAGGCCTTCCTTCATGCAACGTTTTGTTTCCAATTCGCAAAACAAGCTTAAAAAAGAAAATTAAATAAAAAAAATCCAAATAGTGTGGCAGCTGATGTCACAGTGTGATGGTGAACAGGGACAGGATTTTAGAATGACAAGCAAAATTAAGACCCATTGAAAAAACAAATATAGGTGATAAAAGGCACATAAAAAGATATGATATTAAGAATGAACTTGATTTCTAAACTATAAAACCTTCTGAATAAAACTGAAAACGACACAGTTCTTCTTTCATAAGACAGAAGAAAGTTACTAAAACACCTCAGACTAATATACAGACATTCCTGCAGTGATCAGGATCTGCATAAGCATGCTCATGTTTTGCAAGATCTCAAACTGTACCGCACACTCGCAACCAGACTTCTCTTTAAATGCACTTTAACAGAGAAACGTCTAAATTAACTATGAAACAATCCAATGCATTTCCAAATCTAACAGATCCTCTTCATTTCCAGGGGCTCATCATTTATGACACATTCTCTATGGGAGATATGGGATATAGCATTTGCAAAACCTCACAAGTAAACATCTTTAAGGTCGAAGTCTTTGCATATCTTGGGCTACAGTGACTTGTGGAAAGATGAGCCTGGCGTCTAGAGTCACCATCTGGCCCTACATCAACCAGACACTTTCAGACAGGACTGTATTTTTACCTTATTCTGGATTAAAGCACAAATGCTGAACATTGCTAAATGGAAGACCCTGCAAGCATTACAATAAGTCTACAGCATTGCTCACAAAATCCCATTTTGTATTTGCATTATTTCTTTCATGAGACCTTTTTGTTGTTACTCCCCTCAGGCATGAATTAACAGAGGACAAACTGGAATTCCGCTGCCTGAGTCACACAGACTCTTTGCAGGACATCAGTACTGTCGATCACCCCTTCAAGATGGTCAAAGGGAGTTTAAGCCCCTGACGCACCTCTGCTCCATTTACAAGTCCATCGGTGAGAACTTGGAGGTAACATGCAAGGTGGAAATCCCACCTGCATCATTCCAGAGCTGCACAGTACCACACAGGCCACATTTAATCAGGAGTTCTCCCTAGACGGTAACAATCTACACACCCCAGTTAGATTACTAATCTTACTGTGTTTTGGCAGTGAACGCACAGAATATTCTCACTTAAGAATAAAGACATTCTTAAACACGAAAAAGGATGGGGAACACAACACATCAGCGCACGATCAGCAGGCAGACAGGCAGGGCTGAGTAACAGTGATGGCAGTCACGCAGTGACGGCGTCATGCTGCGCTCGAGCGCGTCAGTAAGCACAAACACACAGGAAACACTCCAGCAACCTGACACAGCCTCAGAGACAGTCTCAGTGTCATTCTCATGTCCTGTCAACTCTGCAGAGAGGCAAGACAAAACAGGGACAAAGGAAGGTTGGTCAAAGTTGAGGACACGCCCGTCTTTTTCTTTTGACGTTAGAGCGAAGGCCAGACGTGTCAAGATCTTGACGTTTGGTCTCAGTGCAAGACCTACCAGGTATGCAATAAAAAATGGGCCTTTCTCACACAGTAGGAAAACTCAGCACCAGATGCAGCACTGCAACCCCAGTGGAGAAAGAACTAACTGCAAATACGTTTATCACTGAAGAGTCCACCACACACACTCAGAAACCCGCATCCTGAAACAGCATTAGGACATGCTGCTAGTATTTGATACTTAAAGCAGTTTTTTCCTGGTTAATCATATTCCTCCATCCCAGTCTATACACAAAGCAGAAATGGGATTAAATTCTGTCAATCAATTGCAATGACAAAAAAGTAATGCAAAGTTAAAAAATGTAAAAAAACACATCTTGATCAGTGACATTTCCACCAGTTTTACTGTAATAATACCAAAGCAGCAACATTGAAAATCTATCTGGCAGATTCACAGGTATTCACATGATCACACTGAAAGGTCAGTGTCAGGCACGGCCTCCTCATTTTGTTTCTGCTGTTTGCAGAACAGCATTTCCTATTTTTCCATACAGTAAAAAAGCCCTTTCCTGTCCGCCCAGTCTGCCAGGTGAACTCCGGCACCGAGGTGTACCTTGCCAGCAGGCGCCCACGGTCAGCTGCGTCTCGATCTTGGATGCGTGCAGGGGGTAGTCCTCAGTGACCAGGAAGGGCTCGTACGAGACGCCATCCACGTACAGGGACACGCCGGGGACATTCAGGACGTAGTGATGCCACTCTTTATCGCACACCTGGGGGAAACAGAGAAGTCAGCCCTATCGTCACCCAAGAAGGCGGTCCTCCTTTCTACCCACAATCCTTTGCAAGAGTCAGAAGAAATGTATAAGCTTCGCAGCACAAATGTCTCACTGCTTTAAAAGCAAACCTGATCTTTTAAGGCGGTTTAGTTACTCTTGGCTTCTGTGTTATATGTATTTTTGTATATTTTAAACATGGCATCTTAAATACTTGACGTTATGCTGTCACTAAGTTTTAAACAGGAAAGGAATTCTGACAGGTAAGAGTTGTCTAGCTGGTACATTCCTGTCAGTGGAACAACTGCACAGTATATCTTACATTGCAGCTCTGGCCAGTGCTAGGAGTCTGTTCTTGCTTTGTTGCGGCTGTCAGGTTAATATTTTGAGCCCCATCTTCCCAATAAGAATGAAACGACCAAGTGACCCCAGACTACTGCAATCAATGCACCTCAGCCAACTCGAGAGCCCTGGTGCATTATTAAAAAGGTCACTTTAGCTTTCCTTCCCCTCCAGCTCAGTGTAATCAATCGAAGAAGCTCAGGGAAAAAGATCAATTTTTAAGATTCCAGCCACAATGTTGGCTCAATTTTTTGTGTGCAATTTGAACAAATCCATTTGTCCCGAGAAAGAACTATGGGATAATTATGTCATTTTTCAAGTACGAAACTAAAATATAATCTACAGTATTTCAATATTTAATATCCAACCTTTAAACAAGCTTTAATGCAGCTTGTAAGCTAACTTGTGTATAAACTACAGAACATGTGCACAACAAGCATTTAATAAGAGTAAACTGGCATAAATGCTGTTTCACCTTGCTGCCGTATGCATGCAGCAATTTAAAACATTTCCCCCCCTTTATACAAAAAATATGAATGTGCCACTCAATTTAGAATGGAGGACCCATTACCCATTTCATTTTTTAAATTTTGCAGAAACATAAATACACATTAGGGTGCTGCAGTATCTTCAGCGAACAACCCAGTGACTCAGAATTCTGCTCTAATCACTGGAGGTGCCAGACGCAGAGGAAACAGCCTACAGTTCCTGGCAGTGTGACTGTCCAGAGACTCCAGGATGGCATCATGGTTGTCAGTATGCCTGCGAGGAGGGTGCACACCCAGGAGGAGGCCTGGACACGGGGCTGTTAAAAACTACACCAGGGCCTGGGCCGACTCCTCTCTCTCCCTCACCTGGTCCAACTTCCAGTGGAACTCGGCAGGCTTGTAGTTCTCCGTCTCCGCGGGCTCCTGGCGGAACAGGAAGACGAGGCGGCAGTTGTGCACGTAGAGAGAATAGTGATGCCGGTTCATCTCTGCTGGGGGGAGAGACAGCACAGTTCAGAGCAGCGTTTCCCATGCAGGGGGCTGTGAGGTGCCCCCTGTTGGCGGGCCGAGGGTTTGATCAATAATGAGCGGAAGTACTTAAAAATAACATCCCCGCACTTGTGTGGGACTTATGCACTTTTCTGGACACTCCACTCAAAGCGCTTTACAGGTAATGGGGACCCCCCTCCACCTCCACCACCACCACCAGTGTGCAGCCCCATCTGGGTGATGGGGCAGCAGCCAGAGTGCGCCAGTATGCTCGCCAAACACCAGCAATCAGTGGGGAGGAGAACAAGCAATGAAGCCAGCTGACAGATAGGGGTTAGACTGTTAGGAGGCCATAACTGGTAAAGGCCAAGGGCACACTTTTATTAGAGCAATATGAAATGAAGGGTAAAATGACTGGCCCTTTCTGACTTTCATGATATAAAGCTGTAATAAACGGATAAGAGGTGACTACACTTAAAGGGCACAGACACACTGTGCACGCACCTGTCTTGTCGGAGTTGCAGAGCACAGTCTCCCTCTCCTTGGCTCCGGGGCCGTGTCTCATCCACACAGAGATAGTGAAGGGCTCCTTGAAGCTGGTGGTCACCACACCCTCGGGGATCTTAATGGACTGGGTGCCATTGAACTCGAAGACCTGGTCACTGTCATGCCCGTTGTCAGTGGGCAGCCCTACCGTCCAGTTTGCTGTGCTGCTGGGGGCTGGGAGGAGCTCCACTGTGCCAGAGCTGGCCCCTGAAATTACAGCAGTGAAGTAATTAAGAAGGGAACAAGCAATCAGTCTGCGGACAGAGACAGACATGGATTTGAACCGGCCATTGATAACGCGACCACAGAGAACAGCAGAGCTCTTACCGCACAGCCTGTGAAGGGACTTCTCTGAGTAGGTGTCTCTGTCACAGCCTTTGCCGATATGGTTGGTCTCCAGTTCAATATGAGCCTGGATGGACGTGATGGGCTCCTCGCAGGTCTCCAAGTGCATGCTGGGAAACAGGGCTAGGCTTCCTGTGCCTGGCTCGTACTCGATCCTCTTACTCCAGCCTGTGCAAAATGACCAGGGTGACGTCAAATAACCCCAAAGCCAGTCATTCAAAGTGATACACGCTTTACAGAACGGACACTTCAGCCAAGTCTCAACTTAATGCAACTTAATGACTCGGCACCATGTGCAAAATTTCATCCAAAATGTTCTGGCAACAAAACTGGAGTCTAGCATGGCGACAAAATGGCTCAGCAATTGGCGAGAGCTGTGCAGTACCTTGCCACCCAGGTTTGCAGGTGGGTTTGATGTTTATTTTGACGAGGACGTCCTCGGATGCTCGGTTTTTGCCACAGTCGTAGGCGGTCACAGTCAGTTTGTACAGACGCTCTTTGCTGTAGTTCAGTTTCTCCGTGTTCTTTATGTAGCCTTATAAAGCAGACAGAAAAGGACAGAAAGTAGCTCACCATTAATCGCACTCACCCCTTTGCAACTTCCTAAAGTTAGCTAAAGAACAAAGCCTACCTGCAGCTGAGCAAGCTCACTTTGAAAAGACAAAAGGATACACAGCAGGCAGGTAACATAAGAAATGAATAGAATAAGAAATGATAAAGAATGCATCTGATAAATGCAAATCGCATGTCAAAGTAACAACACTGCAGGTGGTGTCTTTTGGGTTAACAAAACAGAACTCCCTTCTATAACAACCAATTGGCTTATCGCCCAACAGGTGTTACAAACCCATTTAATTCTTAAAAATGAAGCCAGCACTCCACTCCGTCACCTATTCCTGCAATGTAGGCACTACTTTAGACAAGAATGGTGGGAGTGTGGAATAAGCTATCCAGTCATGTTGTTGAAGCTAATACCTAGTCTCCTTTCAAGAAACTTAGCTCATTTAAATATTAACTAGCAAAAGTGTTCGAAAGACCAATGGCCTCATCTCAGTTTAAACTCTCTTCAGATCAAATCAATGTTTAAAATCTAGCTCAAATTTACCACTTCCAGGTCACTACAGATGACACTGAAACAAAGGGGTTTTCCAAATATCAGAAGGGTATACTGGAAGAAGTAATATGTGAGAAATATCTAGGAGATTCTGCAACCAGACTGTGGATAAATCAATTTAAATCAAAGAGACACTTACACATTGCCGTTATCATTACATCATGACAATTACACTTGTAATAATGAAAATATTACTAGTGACTGGAGTATAACACTTATTGTTTTCAGTGTTGCTCACCGCTCTACAAGAAAGACTGCTGTTTATAGAGGCAGTAAAACAATAATAACCAAATGTATTTCTGGCCTGGGGGGAATGTGACAGGCAGACAGACTAAGACAGCTGAATCATTTAAGACAGGAACAGAAAATATGGTGTAGGGACTTCATTCAGACATTCACATTCCTCAGAGGTAAACTCAGCAATCCAGGACATCAGTGACATTAAGCTTAGGCCCACTCAAGATGACGAACAAGAGGACTGTTCTCCTCATTAATGTCACTGAATCTGACTCTGTAAGTTGCCTTCATAAAGGAATGGATGATCCTTAGTTCACTGCATATCAAACTACTGTAAAACACCAGGCACAAAATGGAGCACACACTGACACTTCAGTATGCAATAGTCCAGCTGTGCTCAATGTGTATTTGTTTACAGCCTGATGCAGAGGAGTGGGGGGTGTTGTAGTACCACAAGGCACCAGCGGAGGAGGTAGTGAGCTGGGGGGGAGACTCACCATCTTTATCAATGGTGAAGGGCACATCAGGGGTCACGATCTCGTAGCTGCAGATCTGGCTGAACTGGAAGGAGCAGTCGGCGTCCACTGCCTCCACTTTCAGGATGTTGTCATACTTCTTGCCCTCAATGACGGTGGCCTTGTAGGACTTCTCCTTGAAAACTGGCGAGTACTCGTTAACATCGTTCACCTGAATGTGCACTGTAGCCCTGCCACGGTGAAAATCAAAATGAAACAGAAATGAGCTCTCGGCAGATAAGACCAAAATGAAAAACCTGTAAAACACCCTTGACATGAACTTCACATTTTAAAGCCCTCAGATAACCTGCAAAGAAGAGAGTGTGTATATGTCCTGAAAGGATTATGGAGTGTTTAATCAACATTTGGCTTCACCCGCTTGGCTGAGGGCTGACCTCCTGGCCAGAGGACGAGGAGGCTGGGACCCCCCTGCAGAGTGAGGAGTGACCCAGGGGCAGCTGCAGAGTGAGGAGAGTGGGGTGGAGGTGGGATGCCAAAAATCTATTGTGATTTTTGAGTGATTGCTAATTACCGACAGCCGAGTTGGACTGAACTTGGTTGTTGTCGTCCCTCCTGAACTTTAGTTACAAACTCCATGTGTTGCACGGAGACAATGGATGGTTCATGGCTGTAGCACAAGTTAGGCAACACAGCAAGCTCTGCTTTATAGCAAAATGAAGATAAATCATACTAAACAGAAACACACAAAATGTCAGGCAATTATCTGTACTTCTTCCACTGGTTGGAAAGTCACTGTGAATTCTACTGTATTTGAGCACTGTCAGGCTAGGGAGACATAATAATAGTATCATAATAAGTGGAGATCTATGCTGTACAACATGGGCACACAATTCTTGTGAATGACACCTGTCATTATCGTTGCGACCTTTTTCAGTCGCCCGATCTGACAGGCACGTACAGCACGATTCCATGCAAGTTTTTTTAATTCAAAATGGAAATCCACTACGATTATCTATCGTGCATTATAATTCTATTACACAAAGCACGAGGACATGGTCTGTTGTGTCAAGATTTGTCTTCTGACATGACTGTTAAACTGCCATTTGTCTCCCTTCCCTAACAACCCATTTTGAAATGAAGACATCCTTTGCCAGTAACTAAAAGGCACATCACTTGCACGGATACTTGCAGTCTGTGAAATAATGCTTTCACAAAAGCATTTCTCTCTTAAATTAACCTTCACTTGGAGCCCCCGAGAATAGGGCGGAGCAGTGGCTCTGTGGCTAAGGATCTGAGTGTGACTGGAAGGTTGATGGTTCAAATCCCGCGGCCGGCAGAGGAATTCTACTCCATTGGGCCCCTGAGCAAGGCCCTTAACCCCAACTGCTCCAGGGGCGCCGTACAATGGCAGACCCTGCGCTCTGACCCCCAGCTTCTCTCCCTGTCTGTGTGTCTGTGTCTCCTTGGAGAAAAAACTGGGGTATGCGAAAAGACGAATTCCTAATGCAAGAAATTGTATAGGGCTAATAAAGAAACATTATTACATTATTATTATTATTATTAAACAGCTAAGTACACATACTAGAAGAGCTTAATGGCTTGAAAATCATTCCTGCTGCCTGGATAAGAGTGCAAAGCTTGAAGCGCCACTCCACACCGAGCTCAGATCTAATCTGCAGGCTGGGAACTCTAGTGCCCTTGCCTTCTTGCCTTCCACGGTAATGAGCTGAAAGAGGACCTTCTGCATAATTGGAGGGGAAACATGGTCGATAATGATACTGCTGCATTTGCGCACAGGCAGCAAGAAAACTGGCAAAAAAACAAACAAATTCAACCAATAATCAAAATCGGTTTATCTTGTGTCTTGCAAAATGTCACTAGGCATCCTCAAGCGTAAAAGAACGCACATCTACCTTATCACACAGCACACATGCACAGCCAACAGCAAAGGGCGGATTATAACAATGTTATTCTGTGAGTGAAAAGCACAGCAGAGTCTGGTCTGATTGAAAATCTTCCCTTTCCTTTCAATGGCGTTTCTCAGGCCCCATGCGCGCCTCTTACTTGTGGGACTTCTTCACGCTGGCCCCGTCGGGCCCCTCCCCGCAGTCGAAGGCCTGGATGGTGAAGGTGTGCTCCTTCTGCAGCTCGCAGTCCAGCTTGTCTTTGGCCCGAATGACCCCCTCGCCGGTGGACCTGTCCAGGACCACCGCTTCGAAGGGCACGTTCTGCCCATGGATCCTAAACCCACAAATCTCACCTACACATGGCGACAACCAGGGAGGGGGGAGGCGTAACACACAACGTGAGAACACCAACCGGAGCCTGTACCGCACATCGTCAGCACAGTTAGAACACACAAACAAAAACAAAAAAAGGCCCAAACGTTTTGGCAGCCAAGGGTGTACATTGTGAGGGTCTGTGGAGAAAGCAAAAAAAAAAGCACTGTGCTTAAACAGGGGTGAGTGCTGAAAGGGGGGGAGGGCAGAGGGAGAGGGGGGGTAAACTTTTTGTTACAAAAGGAGCAGTCTGATGCCCAAGCCACTGGGTTCACATCGCATTCATTCATTCATGCTGGAAAGAAAACCGAAAGATGCAGACAGGCATTTCACAGGAGTACTTAAGATACCCCCCCAGCTTAAGAGAAAAATGTAAAACCAAAAGTGCACGGCCAAGATCTCTGCAACGTACAAATCGTATATATTTATATATCTGGATATAAATACCACGCTGCCGCTGCTGGCTCAGGTTTACCAGAGCACAATGAAAAAAAATAACAGGTTAAAATGCAGTTAAAGAAAACAGATGGCGACCAAAAAAAGCTTTTGAGTTCAGGTCCAGCACCATTTCAGAAATTCTGTCACTGGTTTAAATCCACTGCAGTTTTGTTTGTTTGTTTTTTTTAAAAGCAGACTTCCTGTGCAATGTTGTCTGCCCCTCCGACAGCCCCCCCAAAATAATAAGAAAACTAGGGGATTGAAACAAAAGCACTGGATGAGAGTCGGTGTTAGAAATATCGACTTGCTGGTCATCCACGGATGTCAGCGGCAGACTGAGAGCACATGCTACAGCCGGGACTGAAGGAAGAGGGGTGGGGACATGAGTGTTGGCCTCACAGACACGGGACAAATCTGTCTTGAGCTTGAGTTTTCACTTTTTGAGAAAAAACATTAAGAAAACTCAAAAAGGGCTGAGAGAGCTACTAATCCATAACCATTCAGCCTTCAACAAAAGTGCAGTCCTCACGTGGGCTGTATTAAAAATTATTTACAGTACATATCAAAATAATTTGTGGCGTTTTTGAGTCTATTGTGGTGTGTAGGGATTTGGGCAGTAAAATGGATGCCTCATGCATTGATATTTCTAACAATTTCATTCGCAGGTGCTCATCGCTTTTCATCCAGTTTGTTGTTTTTTTTTACGCGAATCAGCAATTCTCTTTTCAAAAATAAAAACCCAAACGAAAGAATACGGGGACAACGGATGACAGAACATGACAGGAGTTTCTGTGTCAAGTGCTGATTCCCTGTGAGGAGGGGGGCCGGGGTTAGTGGGTTAATAAAACAGTATTAGAAGGGTAGAAAGAGAACCCATTATCACCTTCTTTGGTGACAGTCACCTCAAAATTCTCTACAAAGGGAAAAAAGAAACCCAGGTCAGTTACACAAGAGAGAGACTGAGTATTGAGTACAAACGGCAAATACAGGGGGGCAGGGTTCAAGGGGAGATCAATGAAAAGGTATTTGTGAGCATCTGACAAAAGATATACCACAAACAGGCCACCGGAAAGAGCCAGAACTGTATCCTGAAAACCACACAGCAGGACCTCTACCTCTGCCCAGAGCTAAATGTTACACGAGTTCTCGCATTTCATCAAAAACATCTGGTTTGGGCTGTATAAATGCCACGAGGTCTCCCCACCATGCAGAGCACAGAAATGTCAGGCCCGTCCTCGAACGCTGGACCAGAAAGCCAGTGGTTGTACTTTGTCTCCACATTTTTTCAGGCACCTTAATTGTTTTTGTTTTTGGCTAGAGACCTACTGCAGGTCAGGTAATCTCGTACTTAGAAAAACTCCCACGCCACCAGCAATCTGCACGAAACGAATGAAATGGAAAGCTGCTTTTTTTCATTTTTCAGCCTATGTTGCTCATAGCGGCAAACCTTTCTCCTGCCACAGTTCTTAGGCACGAGTCAGACCTACATGTTTACCTTCAGGGCATAAAGAGAGAAAACCATTGGGATTTTGACACACCCAATGATACAGACCTGAGGGGACAGCACCATTCAGTGCAGGACTGGAGGTTCTTTCCACATTTAAAAAAATCAGGATAAACAATAATTACACAGTAGTTAAGCAGTACATCAGCTTCTTGATTTAGGATATAATAATGCTGACATTAGGCATATGAATTTCGAAATATACCAATTAAAACAGATCCCACCTGTACACTTTCCATTACACCAAGCACCAGTCAGACTGAGGTCCAGCATTTCAGTTCTTCTTGAAATTGTTACTTTCCAGAAGGAAAATGTCTTTGAAACTATGGCTCCATCTGTATTTCATATTTCTTTCATTCAAACATGTTGAGTTTCTTTTGAGCACAAGAAGCTATGTTTATTGCTCGGCCATTTACTAATGCTTCAGATGTACGTTTTTCTTCAGTTTTCAGCCACATCATAACTACCATCAGCTCTGGCTGCCCAAGACTATCCCCACCACCAGACTGGTTGAACCCCAATGCCCTTGCAAACTTCACCAATCTGAAACCACGTATTACATCATCATTGACCAGCTGTCACTTCACTTCACTACGACTGTGGGCAGCAATGGATTTTTCCCCTGGGTGAGGCTGTTCACAGCAAGCAGTACAACAGATAGCCTCTCTGACTGGGAAACCACCCGCCAGGCTTCTGAATCTTCCTAAAAGAACCTGATTTCCATGTCCTTCCTTAACCAAAAACAGCAAAGCTTTACTTCAATGAGACTAAATAATAACTTCATGATTCTCTCCCTGTCTGTGTGTCTCATGGAGAGCAAGTTGGGATATGCACAAAGACAGATTCCTAATACTATAAATTGTATATGGTCAATAAAGTGATCTGATCTTATGATACAATGAGATATAACCGTGTGCATCATCCTTTCTAACCATTTGTGCAGAAGACTTTTGCCAGCTGTGATTACTCACAACTATTTATAACTTTATATGCAGAACTCTGAAACCTTAAACACCCCTATACCTAATCCTTTTTTTTCCCTTAAAAAATTAATAAAAAAATTTCACCCCCAAGTGGCATTTTAAAAAGGGTAGCACACAAAAGAAAATCATACCAACAAATTAAAGAGTGGCATGCAAAAAAAAAATGAAAGCGCAATGAAACTGGGAGAGATCCATCTGTTCTTTTTGGAGAAAAAAAAACTTGCCCCGATATTTTGTCGGGCAGTCTGACAGAACTTCCTGATGGCGCAATACAAATCTGGAGCCCTCAAGCAGCGTCTTCAGGATCTGGGACGCTTGGTGCCTTGAGCTGAAGTGTTTAACGCACAGCTGTGCTTCTCATCTCCATTCTCCCTGCAGCAGTGCGCCGTCACCTGGTCCCCAGCCCCTCGGCCGACCTCATCCTGCCCCCAGCTGGGCTCCCGTCAGACTGCCTCGCCCACCTCGAGATCCAGCTACCGGACCAGAGGTGCTTAACGCCCACAGAAATAAATCAACCAGTCCCGTAGACTGTAAGTGTGCATGGGCTGGTGTGGGGCTGGTCAAATCTGGAAAAGAGCGCAGCTTTCTTTAATAGAAAGGGTGAAAAGCATGCACTAAGGCCATTTAAATGACAACCTCTAGATCTGCGGGGGGAGTGAAGTCATGTGTCCAGAGTGTAGAAAGCTTCTTTCTTAGCCACACCGAAGGACCATCTGTCCTGAATTCAGACCGTCGCCGCTCGTCTGCGCCGGGAGTTCCCAGGGTCATGCGACGGTATGAATCACTCCGCTCAGCGAAGGCACTGAAATAGCTATGCACGGCTTGACCGCGCTCAGGTCTCCCGACGGGGGGGCAGGCGCCTGGCGAGCTTAAGCACCGGCTGTACCGCTGGCGCTCGCTCTGCGCACGCAGGGGCTGGCAAGGCCCAGGCCAGCACGCCGTCCCCCGACAGCAGAGGGAGACACGGCGGCAGAGCCCTGGAGGCCCCAGCCTCCCCGCGCGAGCGCCGGTAACCAGGCTACCCCTCCGACACCCCTGGGAGGTGGCGGAGCGCACACACACACACACACCGCAACACCCGCTTGCGTCAACACAAAGTCCAGGGCACGGCCAGCTCCCGTCAGCTGCACAGCTCTGGGAAGAGCCTGGCCGCTGAAAATGAACAACAGCTTGGAATCTAACACCAACTGCCGCGCAGCTACCCTAGGAGAACAAGTATGTTTCCATTAAAACCGAGAAAAAAGATCCAAGCGATTTGGAAACCACTGCTTGGAGATAAAGGGGCACGCTGCACATTTAATTGCATGCCGCAGTACGTGGTCATTTATCATAAAAACAAGCCACGTGGTCAACACGCCTGTTCAAAGACAGTCCTGCAAGACCCAAACACACACGGCCTGGTTTAGCGTGTCGTTTTAAGTCCTCCTCATTGAAAAATGAAGATAAAAAGACATACATTTTTTCTGATCTTCAAAGAAAATAAAAAAAGCGAGGAGGCCCCTGCTGCATCCTTAAATGACAAGACAAAAATCAAAAATATCTTACAGATAAACTTGACCAAATCCCGTGTCAAAGTCAGCAGAAATCTAGTACTGTTCCACTGACAGTCAGCTAAAGCTAACTTTTGGGGTTTTAGTTGTTTTATATTGGTACTGGACAAGGCGCCAGATTAAATAACGAGATAAAGTCTACGTTATCAATTGAAATCCTGGAGAATAACCATGGGTTTTATAAAACACATTTATAAAGTATTATAAGTCCTGCTGCAGTATTGGCTTCTGTAACACTAATGCAGTTTTCATCATTGAGATGTTAAAGGCTAGGTGAGCTATGTGAGCTCCCTCACATTATATTGTGTTCAAGTACCAGAAAGCCTTGAGGCATGACAATTCAGTGACCTGTCTCAATGTGGATTTAACCCCCAGACCTTCACGCCTCTCCTCACTATGGCCACAGGCCCGGGATAACGACACAGACTGAAGCACATGATAAGACATTTCCACTGCACAGCAGTCGCAGGTGACGGAACTGATCCCCAGCTTGGACAGCTGCATTTCTACACACTGCTGCCTACAGTTAATGCCACCGGACGGCAGGCTTCACGTCACTGCTGGAGAGCGACGTCCAACACCGCTTCGGTGAGCAGCCCATTAACATCGACCTCAACACTGCTGGTGTTCCCAACGGCTCACTGGCCAGACTTTGTCATGGAAAACTGTCCCGATTCCAAACCTGCGTGGCTGAAATCCCAAGGCTGCTAAAAAGAAGGAGAAAGCAGGATTTGGGCTTCCATTATTTCCCACATCTCCCAGGTATCCGGCTGGGCTGGTTTGCCCGGACTCGCTGCTTAAGGGTCGGAAACGTGGGGACGAAGCGCTGGGAAAGGCTCGTCGGTCGGAGTCGCTCGCGGGGCGGGAGGCGGACCCGGCAGGCGCGCGGGGAAACGGGAAGCACGGCTCGCCTGTGCCTTACCTGCGTAGCGCAGCGGCGCGTCCTTGTCCAGAGCGATCAAGGGCGGGTCCAGAAGCACCTTGTCGTCGTTCTCCGTGACGATGCCATGATACGTCGTTTCAATCCACGGTTTATGCTTATTAACTAGAAAATGAAAAGAATGACAAAACCTTTAAAACCAGCGTCCTAACCAAACAGCTTAACCACCTCTGAAGCTATTCAATATTTTATACAGCTTAACCACCTCTGAAGCTATTTAAACAAAGATCAAATCTTGCAAACAAGCAGCATATAGGTCAGAAAACAACGACTGATGGGTCATTGTGCTTTGTATGACACGTCTCAAACTAAGCACCACCTCAAAGTGCTTCATAAAATCAGATAACAGCTGGATTATTCCTTAACATTTAATTACAATCCCCCCAAGAAAGCCATCAAGAGAACTACTGTTTCAAGTTCTGCACCAAAAATTAGGAGCAGGAAGGTACTGAGCTAGGATCACCCAATTAAGCTTGTGTCTAGAGAAGAGCTCCTACTGCTGAAGGCTTCAACCACACTGCCTTGACGGTTACACACGTGCCTGGTTGAGCAAGGTACCAGAAGTAGGACCTACGTCTTTTTTTAAGTTTAGAACCACCTGATTTTTTAAATGATACACCCCCACCCACTTAGGAACCTAATAACTGCATCTGCACATCTCTGGAGGGCAACACCTTTTCCACCCCTGGAGAACGAGGAGGCACAGCAATGCTCCGACCCCTGTGCTCCTTGTTCTGACACGCTAGAGGTTCTGCACGAACATGACAAGGATGTGCAGCATCGACTGGAGGGGAGGCGTGTTCCTCGCTAGCCCACAGGGGGGCATCGTTTCACTAGGCACCGGGACTGTCCAGGCCGACTAACCCCAACCCTGCCCTTCGCCTCAGGGACCGAAGGAGCATGGCCGCAGTCGGCTGGTGGCCTGCCAGGCGGGGGCGCTGCGGAGCTCTGGGGAGCAGCTTCAGCTGCGCTCACACCCAGAGCCTGGGCCTCGCACCGAGGACAGAGCCCTTGACAAGAAGGGGCGTGCACTGGCAAGGGCCTGCCAGCCAAGACACACTCCAAAGCAGACGAGCGTGTGGAGTGTCCACCCACAGGGTGCGGTCAGGATCAGTACCCAGCATCCTCCTCCTCGCTTCATCAAAGACACCCAGCTTCCAGCTGAACACCATCACTGCGGGGCAGAAAACTCCAATGTGTGGCAGTCCCACCTCAAACTGGAATTGAACTGGCAGCTTCATTGTAAAGAGGGGAAACACCTCTCACCACTGCTGGTGAGACCAAAAGATAAGATGAAGAAGATCATGAGACAGCCCTAGACATCGGTCACAGCGTCGTCAGCCAAACCACCCACACTGGCCACAGGACAAACCGCATGGGCTTAAACAAACCTGGGCCTGGTCTGGAAGTCTTTTGTGTGAAACTGTCAAATAATTGCAGCAAAACCCACAATATAGATATGTAATGGCCCGCAAACTATAAAAACCTAAACCTAAACTAAAAAATCCCCTAGATATTTGAAATTTTGAACCAAGATAAGAATAGGTCTAGTATTTTTACAATCACTCTGGATAACCAGAAAACGGGGTCACATGAACGTTATTAGCATTACCTAAAGTAAAAACCATGCTATACTTAACTACATACATCAACAGATACAGTATAACATGCTTTCCTTCAGTCTGCTCTTTCATTTGTACAATGGCCATCGGCACTACCGACATAACCTGTCAAATGCACAAGTGCAATGAAATGCTTATGTTCCAATACAAAGACATTAAGGAAACACCAAACTAAAACACAGAACAGCAGCAGCAACAACAACAACAAAGTTAAATAACACTCAACTTCAATAAAACTGCACAAGCAGTGTGCAAAAAAAAACATCAGTGTGAATCAGTGGTTGAGGTAGAATTTAAAAACCTGACAGCTTGAAGCCGTCTCTGAATTTGCAGGTGTGTGCCTTTATGCTCCTATAATGCTTACCAGAAGGGGAGAGTATTAAGACATATTGTCTAAATACCAAGTAGGACACCGGCAGTAAATAGAGAAAAAAGCACTGCGACAGAGTGGACTGGAAAGTGATCAGGTGTAGAATAGCCAGGTATTTACTATGAGCCCACATGTCAGTGCTGGGGCTTATTGTGTGTTGACTGTTCCGTGCCCTCAACACTAGTTTGCCTTCTCCAGAGGAATCTCAGAGCTGAGGGGGGTGGGGAGATAATGGGCTTTCAGGCCTCCCTGGATTAATCCATCTCATCCTTCTGGCTTCTGGGAATGTCTCCAGCTTCTTCTCCTTGGAGCTGTAACAGTTCGAACCCGGCCTGCTCAAATACTAGCACAGCTGTTCGCCGAAGACCACTATCCGCTCCTGATCAAGTTCAGAGAAGCGTGTTCCCAGATCCAGGCATGAAAGAAGAATTCATTTCTGCCCAGTCTGCAGTTTCATTGCAAAATGCCTTGGGGGAGACAGGTCCCCTTTTAGGTACCTGCTTCTTTTCACAAGACTCCTCCTTCACACATGCGAATGAATCCCTGTCTTTCCAGCACTTCCATTTTACATTTTTAAAACTCTTTTTAAATCCATTTCTCAGAATTCAGAGGCTTTCAGAGGGGAATTAACACACAGGTGCCAAAACACGACCATACTCTCACGTGACGGCAGAGCAAAGCACAGAGACCAGCAGAGCTTTTTCCACCTGAACTGGCTGTGTGTGGAAAAAACTGAAATCACTAGGAGCCTCAACTCCACATCTCAGAAACAAGAGCCTCCGGCATAGAGGGTAGAATATGTCCACCCAGACATTTTAACTGCATGGGTATTTAATGAGGAAGAGGATTTCTCAGAAAAATCGTTTATATTTCCTAACACCCCGCAGAGTTCATCTACCGCTTTTATTACTACAATGTAAGAGTGTTTCTCACTCTAAAATGTTGTTAACAAAATGATTGTTACCATTTAATCAGAAAAGCATATTATACAAATTGTGCTAAACGTCTCTAACTGCAAAAGTAACCAATTTGAACATTTGAAAAAAATCTAATTGAATCTATTCAGGCATATCTGTTTATTATGGTGAGTCTTATAAATGCGTCTGGATAAACATTTATACTTCACAAATCATTTGCAAGTTAACTAAGTGCACCGATTCCCCCACAGCTGTGGGTAAGGCAGAGGCAAATAAAGCTGTTTAATCTCCTTAAAGCAGGCCCCGGATGACCTAAGCTACAGTGGAACTCTCTGAATAGGGTTCCAGACCAGACTGGTAAACCACTACTGTAATCTTCTTAATTTCTGCGGTGTGTAAAACCTTCAGAAAAACAGTGCAGTCACATGAATTTTCAAACAAATATTTCAAGACCGCAAAAAATTAGTTTCACTAAGTATTTTTTTTTTTACAGACCATAAAGTAGCTTGAATGTTGATTAAATAAAACCTCACACAGGCTTATAAGAGATCTAGGATTTTTCAATGGATTAACTACACAAGGTCTTGTTCCAACACTAACGAAAAGGCAGAAATGCTTTACTATAAAACGCTACATTTAAGAAGCTAACAAAAATAAAAAGGCTTCACTATTCTGTGGAGTGAGCACCGGAGATAAAAAGCCCACAATTAAAAACTAATGTGCACTTGATATGCATGATTTTTTTCCCCCAAGTTTACTCAACAATTTGAAACAATTTAGGTTTTGCCACATGTTAATGCTTAGTAAACACACTTAATAAGCCTCCAGTTAAACATCAAAGCAAGTGAAAATGGGGATATGATGACAATGAGATTACCACACTGCCTGTGGTGTGGTTTCTATCATTTTATTTCCTGCAGTTTAAGTGAGCTCTAGAAAGTACTGCTGTTCTGGCAGGGACTCTTTGTTTGCAATGGCCTGGAGCCAGTGTCACTTGCAACTTCAGACAATTTATATAAGAAAAATATCGGCAAAGTTCTGAGCACACTGACAAGACTTTTAAAGCCCAGAGCCCAGATAGAGATGCTCTGAAAGAAAGGCTCAGCAGATTAGTGAACAGACAACAGGCCAGCATTTACCAGGCAAACCCAAGCCAAGGACACACAGGCCCCTTCTGAACTGAAATAAAATCACCTTCCAGCTGTCAGCAACTGAAAACAGCACTTTCAGCAAAGTCGAAATCTAAATGACAAACTGAAATGCAGACAGCTTTGTTGAAAAGGTGGAAAATAAAGGACTCTATTGAAACTCACACCCTCCTACACACACCTTTGCACTGCTGCACTTAGAAGGAGTAAGGGTGGGAGGTGCTCACATTTCTCTGCGCTATTCTCTACTCTGTTGAAATTAAAAGGGACACAGGGTGAAACTTGGTCCAAAACAAACACTTCTGGCACTTTTGGATTCATCCGTTTCTGAAGGAATTATCGGATTTGGTCCCCATACTGACAGAAATACCCGTGCACACAGTGTACAGGGATACCTGTTTCTGCACTTTGTTTCACCTGAGCCCTGAATTAAATCATTGTAATAACACCTTAATAGACCTAAATAATTGGTTTCACCTGAACCATTTTTGTTTGGTTTCTTAACATGCAGAAGGCTGCCTTTCAACTATAGCGCTTCATAAGTGACTTAAAATCTCCTGAGAACCACATTCCTATTATCGCTGAGTAGGAAAAAAACTCCAACCAAGAGATCTGTAGTTTCAGCTCAGGATTCATTAAATAAAAGAGCTAACCTCCAGGAAGTTACCTCCAGGATCTTCTCACCTCCAAAATGTATTTTGGCAGATTCAGTAATGATAAATCTAACACACACGTGTGAACATGCTACAGTCATCATGCCCACATGAACATGCCCTCCTGCATGGCAGGAGCTGGCACTGCATCCCAAAAGGAAATTAGTGTGTCTGGACACCCCCCGGTTTCCACGGTTACCACAAATGGACTACATCCAGTGCTTCCGTGTTCTTTTCCCAGCATTCCAGGGGGACAAAGGGAACTGGTAGAGAATTAAGGCAGGGATGAGCTGATGATAACAGATTCAGGTTTTTTTTTTTGTTAGTGAGAAACAAGGACGGAAATAACGGAATGGGCTTTTGGAACATTAGTCATGAAACCAGCACTTGGGAGC